GGCGAAACTTCGTGCTGACGAAGCCGCAAATGCTTTCGTCGACGCGCGTAACAAAAAAAAAAGAGAAAAAAAAAATAAAAGAAAGTTTAATTTCGTGAGCTCGCCGAAATAAAATTCGAGGCTTTCGAGAGAAGTTCTTTTCGCCGACGTAAAGAGCCGCGTTATATTCGGCGTGTTTTTTTTTTTTTTTTTTTTTTTTTTTTTTTTTTTTATCGCGCGTAAAACTTACCGCACATCGTTGTGATGGCGAAAATTTTCTCCTTTTACTTTTCGAGAAAACAAACCACACTTGAGTCCGTGTTCTTCCCGAGAGTCTGATACTCTCATAGTTACACTTCAGTTAACGTTCAATCTCGAAGTTTCTCGTTTCAATTTTATGCCACATGCGTGATACGATGCGCAAAGATATTTTTAGAAAATGTACATTCGCACGCGATAAGTGAAAACAAATACGCATACACAGATGCGAACACAATTGTTCGTCGTTGTTTTATTTGAACAAAAATAATTGACTTTTTTTTCACTTCACGCAGACAAAAGAAAGTATTTTGCAACGTTATTAGCTCCGTTTTCATTCTCTCTTTTTATTCTTTGTTCTTTTTTTCTTGTCAATATTTGAGAGAGATCTCGTTATTTTAAAAGTTAATGATATCACATGGGATATAAGCTATACTTTACCCGAGCAACAAAGTAGAATGAAACCCCGCTTCGATCATACGTGATAATGAGAAATATGAAACATCCCTTGAGATACCGCCTATTGCCATCTTCTCTGTATGACTGCATTCTAGAGATAGAAATATACGTCGACGTGTCGCGTCACGGAAAACGGAATTTTCTCTAGAGAGAGAAAGCATCTTTTCTACCTTCCTTGATCGGAAAAAGCTATTTATTCATACCAGACTTATCTTTGTTTCTTCTCGATTTAATTTGCAAAATACAACTCTCGACGATTATACAATTTCTACACGTATAAATACGCGATTTGCAAGTCTTACGTTGATACAAAAGCAAGCTCGGCAAATTTAAAATTAAGTAGATAATTAAATAATTAATCATAGTGAATGGCATAACATGATACGAGAGAGAGAGAGAGAGAGAACAAGTTTCATTAGGCTCGCATGTAATTCGCGGCACGGCATTGCATGCGGCCGGCTCTTCCGTCATTGAAACTCTGACACGCTCATAAACACAGGCCTCATTCGCACATAAACACCGCGTGCTTATCGTGCAGGCCTGTTAAAAGCCAATTATGGGGTCCGATCGTAATCGAACGCAGAGACGCATTCGCTAAAAACACGCAGGATCTTACAGGGCGATCTTATTGTTGTTAGATGTAAATGCGCCACCCGCGCTTACATATGCCATTGTGCGCGTCCGTGAAAGTCGCCGTAAAACTACTGCAGCCACGCGTTAATGCTGTAACGCGCTCCTATACGGACGTGTAACAAACGAAGTTACGGCGCACGGCAACAATAATTACTCCGTCGCGCGTCGTCGCGAAACTTTATTGAAAATTCCACTTGCGCTAATTTTTAACGCAAACTTGCACGACGCAGATTATCAATAATTTATGACGCCATGACACTTCGAGATAAATTGTACGTGTCAAGCACGTGCTGCACTAGAGTTTACTATAACGCATGTTTGTTTTAATTAATTAACTGCAAACACAATAACATAAAGAAGAATGGGTATTTAATACACGGCCGTAAATAACAAAGTTGTTCAAACCAATTTCATCCTTTTACGTTAAATGAAATCGAAGTTTGTGTCAAACAAATGTTAATTAGTAGTTACTATATATGCAACTTAAATTTAACGTTTTGTACATTTAATGTTGTACATAAATATTATTATAAATATCAATCAAATACGCGCTAAAAAAACGTGGATGATTGAAAATTCAAACTTAATAAAAGAATTAAACTAAAAATAAACCAAATAATCTATGAAAATACATAGTAACTTGAGCAAGCATGAGAGAGAAATAAGAAAGAAAATTCAGGTGATACATTTTATGTTAATCAATATGTTATTTTAGTGTAGTGTAATCAGATTCACGTACAGACATTGCGCTTTTATAGAATGTGCTAAATCGCGTGTGTGAACTTGATATGTACTCTGATTGTATAAATAAAATAAATAAAATAAATAAATAAATATTATATTAAATATTTACATTTAATTTTATTTAAATTGATATAATTTGTAAAGTTAAGTCTGCATATATATATATATAGTGTTACATAATTGTTAGAAATAATTTTAATGTTAAAAGGTCAAACACAGTAAACAAAGTCAAAAAGTAAAAATATGAAACACACACACGTGCAATATATTAAAACTTAGAATGCAATCGGAAATATACTTGTTACGCGAACATTGTTCGTTGCAATTAGAGAACTTTATAAATACACAAGTTTGAAGTGTGCCAAAGAAAGAACAAAGTTATCAAATGTTCTAATCAATGTGTACGAAAGTGGATGGTCCAAGTTTTCGCGAGAAAATTGATGAAAATAAAGTTAATAAGCAGGTCGGAATATGCAATAACTGCGATTCATGAGTATATATTATGGCACGTGGGAATACCTATATTAGACTCTCTGTGCTAATGTATACCGCAGTATATACCTCTCTCTCGCCGTGGAATATTATTCCTTATTCATATATACGTTTGCGCGTGTGTTTGCCGCAGAGCCATCCTGCGCCGTCGTACATATCCAGTAGTTACAGAAGTGAAAATTTCCTCGTTTCCGAGCATGCAATGGAAGCGTAACACGTTCTATTACTATTTTTCTGTTTTTTTTATTAAAAAAAAAAAAAAAAAAGAAACATAAGAGACGACGGTATGTTTACAGATTGCACATATTTAAACGGGTTTGAATTAAATTCCACTGTCACTCTATTTCAACTTGGATTTTTATCTCTTAGACTTATCCACTTTTTTCTGTAGACACGTTACACACGACAAGAATACACGTAACTTTCGAGACTTTTCAATGTTATATAAACAATTGCTTTTGTATTGCGAATTTTTCGACGTGTATTTCTACAAGTTTAGTATTTTAACAAATGTTACTTAGTTTTTTTGCGAGAAAAGCAATCGCGAAAAAACAATTCGTACTATTATCTCCATTGTCTTCTACGCGAATCTTTTCTGCAAAGCAAGCACATTAAGTATGTGAGATCGCAAAGATATAATTTTCTTCGCGCGTGCTTTTCGCACGAACTTGTCGATTTCTGTATGTGCGATAGAAGGAGAGAGTAAAGAAAGGATGAATTTTTCCCAACGCATCCGAGCAGTGATCTTGTCAAAGAAACGATGAACCAAAAGAATATGTACACATATTTTCTTCTTTTGTGAAGAGACGAACATAATATATATTAAAATTCAAATTTGTAAAACTTTAGGCAATTGTTTGTAAAAATGAAATTTTGTTAAGTGAATTACTCAACGTTTCACACACACACACATACATTTACTGTTACACATACATGTTGTATACCGTTATATATACATGTATCTGTTATATAATTTGGCACACAAACTACATTAACAAATTAATGCTATAATATATCATATGGAAATGAACAGTATAATCAGTCTTTCCAGAAGTTTCCTATTATCTGTCGGAACTGCTTACGCAAACGTCCGCAGGCAGAAACAACCCTACGGGGGATAAGCGTGGAGATAGATATGTGACCAAGTGCTTCAAACGGGTTTCACCCGCAGGATATTTCGCACACGAGGCACGAACATTGCAAATAAATCAAGACTCTTCTAGCTCTCGCTGTAAAGGATCTACGAGGACGGTGAGGGTGCGCTTTTCAGAATGAAAAAAAGGACAGAGCAACGCGGAATGTCGAAAAGGAAGAATAAAGCGCATCTTTTGATTAATCGAGTAGATATCAATTTTAATTCACACACCGAAATATCCGAGCGATCAGTTTTAATATGTTTTCGAGCAGGTTGCTTTTTTTTCCATAAACGTAGAGACATCTGGCGATCTCTTTAATAATAAACTAAACGGATTAAATAATTGTAATACTCGTATATATAAATTTTGTGTATATAAATTTAGAGAAAAAAGAGAATTATTTTCAGAAAAAAAAACAGGTTTGGTTCAATGTGTTAACTTGGCGGAAAATAAAATGTTCAAGTTTCTTTTTAAGCAAACATTTGTGCTTGCATGTAAACTTGAATTTTATCACTTATTTGATACGTGTATATACGACGTGTGTTTTGCTTTTACTGTTACGTACACTTTTGCGGTAAGGATAGAGAGAGGATAGAGATATGTGTGAGAAAATCTCACGCGGGGAAATACCGAGCCAATCTTATCGTGTGATATACATTTGGCAAAATGCGCGCGATGCACAGACCGTCGAAATAAATACTCGCGGCGTCGTAATCTAGGCCGCAACGATAAAATGCATCGTGCATATTGCGCCAACGCACGATGTAATCGGAATGCGGCAGTTCGTCCGCTTGAAAAATGCATCTGGTCGTCCTCGTTTAAATTCGCTGGTTGGCCCTGCCTAGCGCACAACGCGCTCGTCCGGTGATGTGCAAAATCACGCGCGACATACGATTGCACCGAGCGCGTGCGATTTTCAAACGAGATTATTTTTGCGCTAGAAAAACGATAAACGAAACGAGAATGCTTTTGAGAAAACAAACGAGTGCGCCGAATCGACCGTAAGGTATCGATATTGGAATCATATTAAATTTCTATAATAGCAAAAACTGAACATAAGAGAGTATTATATTTGAATGATATTTATTGCAGAGTTCATTCACTTTGTATTAACTTTCTTCTTTCTTTCTCACTCTCTCTCTCTCTCTCTCGATTGCTAATATTACAAATCGGTTTTGCAATTTTACTGAATTACGTTGTATATCAAAAAGTTTCAATTTATCGTGTGTTAATAACGTGATAGATTAAACACACATGACGTGTATACTAAATAAGTTTGTAATTAATTTATCTTTGCAGGTGAATGGATCCTGGAGTTTGCCGGGGTTCGTTTGTGATTTTTACATCGCAATGGATGTGACTTGCAGCACCAGCTCCATATTCAATCTCGTGGCTATTTCAATAGACAGGTAATCCATTTCTTCCTTTACCTCCGCGCATGAGATTTTGTACAATGTTTAAACATTTTTAAACGACATGAAGATGTAATGGGAAAAAAATGTATATTGCATTTTGAGCGGTATTCATTTTCAGATATACGTTGAATCGAGTTTTTGTGTTATAAAATTAAAGAAAAAAAAGTGGAATTCGATAAAAAATGAAACAGCATTTAGTTACGCGTATCACCTTCCGTTATCCAAAAACGATGCAATTATATCGAGGCGGTTGTTAAATAATAAACTGACAAATGGATAAACACAAAATTGAAGAGTGCTCAATAATAACACGTGACAAGTATTTTATGCGCGCCGCTTTCTATTCTTGATTCCGATACTGCACATATCGTGTGTTCGGGCAATTTTTTATTTGAAAGAATATCTATATCGTGTAACATCATCGCACACATTGTTACAAGCGAATCCCAACAATATTTTGAGAGAGTTGGCAAAGAAAGTTCGGGCTTTAAAGATTGTTTTGTATCGTCTCTTCCGAACTTCGAGAGAGAGAGAGAGAGAGAGAGAGAGAGAGAGAGAGAGAGAAGAATCTCCAACTACAATAAACTCGGAAATAGTTTAACTTTTATGATGGTCTTTTCGTTTCTTATTCACAAGCAGTTAGCGTTACTAACGAAACTATGCTTTTAAAACAACATGTCAAATCGGCGATAATTTGATATAATCACTGATACGTGTTAAATATCAGTAATCTCTTGCGGGACGTGAATTCTGAAAGACAGATGAGAGACAAGAGTGTCTCCGGATTTGTGCACGAGTAGATTTCACAGCGATATAATATCCGTTAGTGCGAGGAAATTGCAACGTATACGCGAATCGAATTTGAATTGCAGATACATAGCGGTGACCCAGCCGATAAAGTACGCGAAGCACAAGAACAATAGAAGAGTATGGTTGACGATACTATTGGTCTGGGTGATATCGGCCGCGATCGGCAGCCCGATTGTCCTAGGCCTGAATAACACCCCCGGCCGGATACCGGACCAATGTCTCTTCTACAATACGGACTTTATCATCTACTCGAGCCTGTCCAGCTTCTATATACCCTGCATCATCATGATATTTCTCTATTATAACATATTCAAGGTGAGAGCGACGAGAGATTTTTTATTTTCTGTAACACATTGCATAAAACTTATCTTTGAAATTTGATTTTACGTAACTGCCTTTGCCGCAATAAATTTAATTAATTTTTACAGTAAAAGAAATTGCGTAACACAGTTTGAAGTAATTTAAAACAAAAAAAAAAAAGATATTTACAACGCAATAGAAATCGGTAACGCAATCGTGGCACGACAATCGCACAAAGAACGCGATGAAAAATTTATTTCGAAGAATTTATTCCGAACGCAAAAAAAAAAAAAAAAAGACACCGATGATAACCGTCTTTGTAGTTGAATCGACGCACGCACGCGATGACAAGCAAAAGACAAAAAGAGTTATCTCCCTTGTCCGATTATAAAAGGGCAAAAATTTATTCGCGCCTCTTTTATCTTTGTGATTAGTTCCGGAACGTGAACTGATCGCGAAATTGGCTGCGCCATGAAAGGCAGCTTTTGTAAAGGCGAGTTCGCAGTCTTCGTAATTTAATTGTCACATATATACTGTAATGCCACTAGAATTAATTTGTCTTTGTTATTGACAGCAAAATCCTTTCGAGCTATTCTTCGTGAGAGTTATAAATTTAAAAAATATAATATATTAATATGTGTAACAAGTATGTGAGTGTGTGTGTGTGTGTGTCTGTAACGCAGCTTTTTCTGGATAATTGTGTACCGATCTTACAGGCTTATGTCTTTTAAAACTCGCGTATGTATTTTTCTAATTGTTCGAGACTTATAATCACTTAATGTGACTTATAAAATCGACTTCTGTTATCAAATTTCTTTTATTGTAGATGTTTCTTTTAATAACAATATATTTCAATTTTAAATAGTTAATTCCAAATGTAGATGGTGCAAGGTGCACTACGTGGTTTATATGGCGATTGCTATCATATTGCGGTCGAACGTAAATACGACCAGTCGGACGTTTCCGCGTTTGTAACGTATAGAATATATTCCGATTGGGTTATTAATTTTGTACTTGTGGCACAATCGGTATAATACGACTAGCATAATAATATTGATGAAAATAGCATAATAATATTGACGTACAACCTTTGTTTTAATGTAACTTTGATATAAGTTATAAAACTTAATATAAGTCTTATTATATATACGAATTACGAGTCACACATCTTTTGTGAACTGATGCGCATCGATACCGTCAGTTGTAAATTTCTGACAAACTTTGCGAAGCGAGTGAACACCGTGAAAGATAACTGTAGACGCGAGAGGAAAAAATATTTTATAAACTTTTCTCAAGTTTTCAGAGAAGAATTTTGGTTTACTGACTTCGGTATTTAAGCAGCATTTTATCTCGCCGAAACTTTTACTTGAGCTTAATTACATTCTTTATACTGTGATAGGTAACAATTATTCAAGAGAGATCTTTTGTGTTAAAAAAAATTTATGAAAAAATTCTCTCCAAACATCATTATCGTTAAGTAAGTTTTTTGCTTAAAAAGGAGCAAATTCTCTTTAATGCAGCTACATCATAATAAGAAATAATAGTGGATTTATATTCTCTTGAAATGGTTAAAATAAATTTTGTTTACTGATAGATAAATACTCGAAATAACAAAAATCTAAAAATTTTCGCGCAGATTATGTGTTACCTTAATGTCTTGCATTTGCGCAATCTGTCGTCAGATTTATATCACACTGTGTCTTTCGATTATTCCGTTTCAGGCTCTGCGAAATAGAGCGAAAAAGGCTCGCGCTAACAGAAAACCAAACTTAGGCGATATAAAACCGGGAAGCATAATCGAGAATATCGCACACACGCGCAGGTGAGTACAAATCGCTTGATTACACATCGCTCATTAAAAATTTAATTACGAATTTTTTATATTGTGAAAGGTACAGCAAAATCAATTTTCATAATTTTGTTTCTGAAAAAAATTATTGGCTAATTTCAGTTTTTAATTTATAATAGAAAGAGAAGAAAACGAAAGAGAGAGAGGTTATTGAATATTTATAAAAACTGTTAATTATATGTAATTGTATTAGATTAACTACATATAATATTTTTAAACGTGTATTTTTATACGTATATTATACAAAAAAAAAGAAAATATGAGAAAACCATATTAGCTATCATGTTATTATGCTGTACCTTTTACTTGAAATTTTGTTCTTTTAGCATGTGCGAATGCAAGTAGATGTATGCATTGTTACTTCTTTTTCCTGACAGTTAATGTGACTTTAGAAAGTCTTAATTAATTTATTAACAGTTTTAGTTTCAACTTATTGTTGAGTCAAAAACTGTGATCAAGAAAAATGTTAATGTCTTAGAATCTAATTAACAAACAGTTTAATTTGCTAATTAAAAATACTTGATATTTAATTAATAAATATTTTTTTCTTTGATTTGTGTTTCTTATGTAATCAATAATAAATCTTATAACATAGAAGCAATGTTTTATGCATTTGAGCAGAAAATACGATTTACAAACCTTTTCACGTGTACTTTCATGCATTTTTGAACACCATTGTGTTGTATCTCGATCTTTTTCACTAACAATCAATAATAAATTCTTAGGTTATTTATCTTTTTCGTGTCTCTTGATACTTTTTCTTTGGTTGTTGAATCTTTAATCATACACAAGCAGACTCATTGTTGAAATAATTTATTAGGTTTTTCTTGTTGTTTACTTTGTTCAGCATGAAGAATTTAGATTACCCCCAAAAAAATGGTTCTGACTATTTCTTTGCGTAAAATGTGAGTGTAGACGTGTAGGCACCATTAAAAAAAAATTCGTTTTTCACTAAAACCTAAAACATATCTTTCTAGTGTTAATTGATCTTTAAGAAAAGAGTGTTATCACAAGCAATATTGAAAATAAAGAATGACATGATAAACGATGACTTTACTCGCGCACAAAGTCACCGAGAATAAATCGGTCAGAGTAGCAAGATATCTGTGGAAAAGGCGCATTTTATATATAACAAAATCAGGATTGATTCGTGCGATTCGCACGCGTCTGTCGAAGAATCGTCCCACGGGAAAGAGTCGTGCAAGGAGAAATTTATTCATGCGCTCTCTTCTGTGACGTTATCCAGGCCGTTTGGCGAGACGATAAGCGCGTGAGAAACGCCGCCGCCGCCGCCGCCGTCACCTTCAGTTAGAGCACGTCGCGCGCTCGATGCGCGACGATTCTTTTCAATTTTTGTGACCGCGTAAGACGTGCATTTCAACGAGACAATTTCTCGCGAAGATTGGCGACGCGCGAGCTTCATCGGCGGACGCGACATCACGTTGTGACCGAGAGTTAAATCCCGAGCATCCCCGAATAATTCGCTTTTCACGCACGCTTCCGCTCGCACGTGCTTTCATTTCCGCTCTACTGACGAGAACGGTCTCGTCTTGAATAGCCAATTACCTTTCTCGTGTAGCTTAATCGTTGACAATTTTGTTTATATCTTTTAAATGTGCGTTTCGCTACGTCTCTTTTCTGCGTCGATGTGATGCGAATACTGCAAATTAAATACAGTACAGAAATTTAGACATCTTTTATTCGTATATTTGGTCTTGGTAAGATAAGTTTACGAGGCACAATTCGAAGAAAATACGTTCGCGATTATTATTTCTTCTCGTATATTGGAGCAAAAATAAAACAGTAATTCTGGCGACACGGGTTTTCAACATTAAATTAGAAAGTTTTAATAAATTGGATTAGGATGAGATAACAAGTCATTAAATCTCTGTTAGCTGAAATGCTTTCTGCTTTAACGTAATTTTAATTCTCAGCTCTTTCTACGAAGATATTTAATATCGAAAATTAAAAAGTTATGAGAGAGATTATCCAAGTTTTGTTTTAAAACAAACTCAATTGTGTTTAAAGTAGATGGATGCTCTGTGTTTGCGAATAGAAGAAGATTGGCGATAATTTCTCCGCGGCGAATACACAATACAAAATAAATGAAAGTTTCTAAAAATTGTTCGATATTCGTTCTAGCTATTTGAAGAATTTTCTAAAACTAAAAGGGAAAAATATATGAAAAAGTTTGTAAATATCTAACACGTCATCTAGCTATTTAAGAGATTTTTTAAAACCAGTCAGCTGCTTTGTTAGCACTTGAGACCGCCTGACGGAAGTGCCAAGAAGATAAACCGGAGAGAGAGAGGGACTTTCCCAACAAACTCCTATTTACTTTCCTTCCAACGAAGAGTGCAGAAAATCTTTAAGTATTTAAGCGTCTAAACGCGAAAAGCACGTACTCGAAAAAAACCAGCCGAAAGCAAGGACTCTGCTCCGGTGTGCAGCGTTGAAAAATATTGTCCAAGTTAAAACGTTTAAATATCACCATCAGAGGATTCCATATATGTACATATATACATATTTGCTGTGTATAAGAGTTAAAGAGAAACTAATAATATATCAACTAGAGAATTAACAGTTCTCCTTACTTTGACGGGAACAGCATTCGGATGACATGCGATATTATCGATAAATTAGACTTAGACGTTTACAGTCGCAGTTGCAATTTCGCAAGTTTGGTACATGTTTCGCTAACTCTCGCGAGTGCAGTGTATCCGACACATAATCTGACATTTTGTTTAATCCTTCACATGCATCCACACGCTGGTCGTCGTTGTGTTGTCCCTTTATCGACTTTGTTATCGCGCGAATCGAAATTCAACCGAAATTTTGATATTTACCTCGGCAATCTGCTAATGCACGAGTTCTGTTGCCATGGCGCGCGTATCTTGTCCCGGAGTTGTTGCACTTTCATGTGTGTGGACACACGGGACTTGTATTGGGGATCCAATTCCCTTGGTAACCATTAAACGTAATAATTATTCTATGTGATGACATATGTACGTACGAAGTTGAAAATGCGCTTGCGTTGAAAGGTAAATTGCGATAAAAGGAAGACGTTATTTGATAACGTCTAACGTAATGCATAAAATCTAAGATTGTGCAAAATTTCATAGAAAACTTGTTTTTTTTATTTTTTTTATTTTATTTATTTGAGTACACAAGTGATGTGTACGCGTTGTTAAAGTAACTTAAAAAAAAACTAACACACATGTAACATTTTTCTTGACAAAAAGTGTTAATATTAAATCCGCTTCTTAATTTATTTTGTACGCTTGTATTTTTTTTTTTTCTATAATTGTTGTGCTTATGATTGTTGTGCTTATATATTTTATTTTAGCCAAATTAAGTAAACGATAGATTTGAATGCGTTCTTTCTGATGCAAAAAATAGGGAAATTGTATTTTGTACATTCAAACGTAATAAAAAAAAAAAAAAAATAATAATAATAAGTAAAATGTGCAATATTTTGAATTGTCTGCTGTTTGCTAGCAAATTTAAGACGTACAGCAATTGATTGAGACTCCCAGCGTGAAAGAGAAACAGCGACGCTCTGTCACTGAGGATCTTGCAGGTGCTGTCAAAAAGCGTGTCGTCGTTTTGTGCATGGTAAATACGCTACTTTGCCGGATTAATGCTGATGCGAGCGGATGCCGGAAAAAAAACAAAAAAAAAAACAAAGGAGAGTGCATGATAGGTGTAGAGGCTTTTCTAGAAGCTTTTGACTAAGATCACGTAGTGGGTATTCTGTGGCAAGGTTCGCGGAAACGGCGCTGGGAGCGGCCGCCCTGGTGGCACCTGGGATCGAGGAACCAACGAACACCGCTTCCGGCAGCAACGAAGACGAGGACGAGACGCCCCTCGATCCCGTCGTCGTCATATCCAACGACAAGAGCACGGAATTCTTTTTAGCCACAGTCGTCGAAGAAGCAGCGTAAGAATTTCATCATACCTTCTTATCACTCGTCCCACCGCGACTCTCTCGAGTTGGATATATATATATGTCGGAATTTTCTTTCCCAACAAATATATCGGATCACATTGTCGTTGCCGTTTTGCGCGCTACGCGATCTCGTCATGTTGTCGACGTAAAAAAGCGAACGAACGCGCATCTGAGACAGTTACTGTTCTTTGAGCATTGTTCTTTTAGCGATGTATTCTGTTTGAAACGTGTATTTCTTTTTGCGACAGATATACGACGATGGCGCGGAATGACGTTTTCGTGTGTGATCAAAGAGGATCTCTCCGCGGTTTTTTTTTTTTTTTTTTTTGTTACACATCGTACGCATTTTATGTCGTAAAATGAACGTCTACGACACAGAGATGCCACCATTGCGTCACACTTGCGGCAGAAATTGCTCTGCACTCGGATTGTTATTATCTGATCGATCGGGCAGGTTATGAGATATTATGTCGCATTTCAATCGTGGCATTGATTATCGTGGCATTGATTATTACGATTGTGACGTTATTAACGATAATGGAGAAGCACTTTTATAACGATGAGGTATTTAAGAGATTGTGCGGTAAGTTCAGTGGGTTGGCGATGACTATGGAACAGCTGGCATGCAACAAATATGATGAATATAATTTGTTTTTTCATATGAGGCTTTTCACAGTATAAGTTCCAAGAAATTAAAGAAAGACAAATATACACACAATATTCAATTAAATTGTCAACAATAGAAAAAGAAAAGAACAATTTCAGTTTCTTTTCATTAAGATTTCCTGACAAAGATACATATTTTTAAAATTACACTTCTGCTTGATATTGTTGTCACGCGCGCCGCTGAAACTTCTGCCGTTCGTGTTTAATTCTCACGACGTCAATTTAAAAGAGACAACAAAACACAAAATTAAAATAAGAATCGCAAGAACTCAAATTAGACTTTACTCGCAAAACTTGACCTACATACATACTAAGAAATATTTCAGCGACCCCACGAACTTTCGCGAAGTTGCACTATTATTTTCTTCTCGATGTCGTATCGCAAAATGAGATTCGCAATCTCGCTCGGTTGGCATGAAAAAGAAGAAGCGGCAAAAGCGCGCTAAATAAAGCGCAACTGAAAACAGTGACGCGAGCGGGTTTCTACAATATAAAGCGAGCGATAATTATTTCTTTTTCACGAAGAGAGTTCCGAATGTCACGACTTTGAGTCGATCGAAAGTTTTACGTTTGATTAGCCAATTGCAAGTCTCCAATTAAGAGGATATTATTTCTGCTTTGCGTGTCACAAACTTTATGTCGGTATATTTCTTCCTCACCGCGCGTCTCTTTCATATTACTGTAATGTGAGAATAATTGCAGATTTGTTTCAAGTATATACGACAATTGCCATTTTATCGTTGTCCTTGTTCCGCAATTATATGTATATTTAATAATGGTGATATGCACGATATGTAACGATAAGTCACGCGACGAAACTATTTACGATTAAATAAATATATATATATATATACATATATATATATATATATATATATATAGGTACACGTGCGTCAATGGAAATGAGAAAAAAATATCTTGATAAGTAAAATATATTTATATTTTTAAGAAAATATTTTTAAACACTTAAACACACATGTCCTTAAACATTTAAGTTAGTTATTATATCTTTCATCAAAGTTAGTTTTGTATTTGACAGAAAAAAATTTTCTGTTATTTTTTAAAAGTATCTTTTCATGGCTTGTTTCAACGAGAGAAGCAAAGACAATTCGTTTCATGTTCTTTCATTCGGAACTTTGTCACAGATCGGAAGAATCGAAGAGAAATAACGTTGATGAAGTTACACGTTCGACATGGGTGACAAGTCGATTTCTCGAAAGCTCGAACGTTGATCGGGCAAGTCAAAAAAAAAAACAAAAAAAAAAAAATTAAAAGGAGCACACAATAAAATAAGTGAAGAAAAGCCGATGAATCGCGATCCGTTCACTTTCTTCGTTCTTTTCATGTTACGGTGGCTGAGGTTACTCGATCTTTACGAACGTTCGCGCATCTCTTAATGGAAACCCGTCGTTTCGATACTAAACCCGGAAGTTTGCGAGTTAATCATGATGGGCGGCTCTCTTTGTATCGACGTGAGCGAGCAATTTACATCCAGCAGCTTGAGTTACCTTTGAAAACGGACCAATCAACTCGGCGCGCCAGCATCTCACGCTTATTAATTAGCGTGTGTTTTCAATGTTCAACTGCCGATATTTTGCCGCGTACAAGATTTTATTTTGAATACACGAAAGGTTTTGTGTTCACATGATGTAATTTGTGAACAAACAAAAGCTTCGGTAGAAAGCAAAAAGGACACGTGGTTTGTTTATTTTAATTGTTATTTTATAAATTAATGTAATTGTTCAAGTAAGCAATTATATAATTACTTTAACACACACAAAGTTTTGTTCCAAAAATAAATATATTTTTCTTTACACACACACACACACACACAGAAAGAAAAAGACAAAGAGAGAGAGAGAGAGAGAGAGAGAAAGAAAAAAGGAGTGGAATTGACCATTTATTTAAAAATAATGTTTTGCCTCCGAGTATTATAGTACCTTCAGAAAATGTAAAACTTGTTGCATGTGTATATTTTCACAAATACTGTCAATGTTTTGATGAGATCCAGATATTTATAAACATCCGTTTTACACATGTAGTCTGATTCCTCACACATTGACGTTTCTTGACACAAAAACCATCTTTATATCACAATACGTATATAAAATATTAAGACTAAGGTGTTATTCGAGTCAGCGAGCAAAATTTAGTCGAGTTTTTCTGACACTCGAATCGCAGTTGTCGTTTCAGTGCGGTGGCACAGGCTCAGCTGTCAAGCGCACCTCACGTTCAGCGGGAATCTTCGGGCGGCTTAGACGGCGCGGCAAGCAGCACGGTAATTCACGAGCCACTCGAGACGAATTCTAGCCCGAGTCCGAACCCACGAATCACGTCCGGTCCGCCGTCCTCGTCGACTTCGTCGTCGCCGCCGCCGCCGCCACGTGGTACGACCAGTGTTTCCTCGTCGACGCAAACGGCAAAGAAAAACGGCAACAACGACGGTGTTGTTGCTGGTGTGAGCAAGCAGGAGCTGAAGAGAATGAAAAGCGCCGGCTCGCTTCTGCCGCTGCAGCTCGCCAGGACGCCCAGCGTGCTGTCGTCCTCCGGCAAGAAGGATCGGAAGAACGCGTCGTCCGGGTCAAGGTTCACGATATACAAGGCTAACAAGGCTAGCAAGAAGAAGAGAGAGAAGAGCTCGGCGAAGAAAGAGCGCAAGGCCACCAAGACTCTAGCGATCGTGTTGGGTAAGTTGCTTGCGTGTCGCTGCATTGATAAGCAGCTCGGCTCGCTTTTTGCCTGCGTGTTTTATTGATGAGCTTGTGAAATAAAGGCGACGAAAAGAATTAAAAAAAAAAAAAAAAAAAACATTTTAAAGAAATTTTACATTCAAAACGAAAGAGCGAAAGATTACTTAAGCAATGAGTATATAATGTCTTTCGATGCGTTAACATAATGTTTGAAACTATTTTCTTATGTGAAATTAATTATTTAACTTAATAATTTATTCATAACTAAGATAAATAAATATATTGTGTTTTATTTAAGAAAAATAATTGATTATTAATAATTCTTTTCACACACATTGATATTTACAATATTAATTTTTTTTAACTCTGAAATCAATCAGTGTTATAATAAATCGCGAACTTCAAAAAGAGCCGGTTAATAACAACGCCTTCGTTACAATAAATTGTTACAGGTGTATTTCTGATATGCTGGGTGCCGTTCTTTACTTGCAACATCATGGACGCGATGTGCACGAAGCTGAAGGAGCCCTGTCAGCCGGGCGTTACGGCTTTCATCGTCACGTCCTGGCTGGGCTACATGAACAGCTTCGTGAATCCCGTAATATACACTGTGTTCAACCCCGAATTCCGTAAGGCCTTCCGCAAGCTGATCAGCGTGTAAGTGAGATTGCAATTCGTGATCCCTTGAAGAAGAGACACGAGGAAACAAACGTGACTTCGGTGTGAATCGTCGTATTTGTGATGTAACAACGAGAAACTGTGAGCTCTCGACGGGCTCGCAACAGGTACTGTTGTTCTTTGTATTTGGAACCGCAGCAGCTGCGTTTGCGTATCGATTTTCGTGTCCCGTTGCGCGTCAATCGTTTCCGAGTGAAAGACGCGAGAAACTGAGTTCACATTTTTCCTAGAAAAACTCAGACTCATACTAAAAAAAAAGATAAATCTTTTGCGATAACAGACAGCGGTGTGTATGGAGGGGGGGAGGGAGGTATGGGTGTGTGTGTGTGTGTGTGTGAAGATAATATCGTATTTCGATAAGCATCGGAAAGGAAAAGTAATATTAAAAACAAAAAAATTGTTTATCGCATTTCGCTTGGTCAAAATTGACGTGCAGTCAGACAGCGGAAATTGCTTGAATTGTTGCTACCGAATGCAACAACGATTCATCGCGTTCGTGCGCATGAGTGCGTACGCTATGACGTCGAACTGTCGCGGTGCGTCGCGCCATGAAGAACACGCGGAAAAACAACGTATGTACACCAACGAGAAAGAGAGAGAGAGAGAGAGAGAGAGAGAGAGGGGTGGAAGAGAGATGATTTCTCGCATGAGTAGCTCAAGTAATTGCTAAGTGAGGCTTCGCGAAACAAAACATTTTCAACCACGTCGACGAATTGATGCGCGCGCGCGCGCGAATAATTAGCAGAAAATTTAGATAATTGTACAAACATTGCGCGCAGGAATGACGTTTATGACGTCCGAAGACGAGTCGTTAGAAAGTTAGCAAAGTTATATAACTAATCGCGTATAAAGACAAATATTTCTCGAAAATAATTTAATAAAGTTTGCGAGGAAGCAGGTTGAATAAAATACGATCTGGCGGAAGAGCAAGAGAGATTGCGCGCAAAGTTGTTAGAGGTGTATTTACTATGCGAGAGGCATATATTACACGTACGCTATTACGTCTCCGTTGATAATTAAGTACGCCGTGACAGTATTAACGTAGGACGTAAGATATAGCAATATTTTTTCGCTCAAAGTAAAAGCAAAAGCTGATGACCGCCGTTTGTACGACGATATGAAAAAAAAAAAAAAAAAAAACACACACGCTATTACGTACTCGCGCGTCGCAAATAATAACTGTATGTATTTATACTTCGGTGAACACGTAAAAACAAAAAAAAAAACCAAAAAAAAAAAAAGGAATTATATATACATACACGACATATATAAAATGATGAACTCTTACGCCGTTCCTTCCATGATATACAGGGTGACACTGAGCGCGGGACAGAAACTTTACGACACAAAACGAAGAAGAGAAAGAAAATTAAAGACAGTACCTTATTATATAAAACACTAGCTTCAATGTTCTTTAATGAATTCTTACAGAAAATAACATTGTTTCTTAGTTACAATACAGAAGACACAATACAGAAGGCAAAGCTTTTTTAAACAAAGCCTGTGCGTTAATAAAAGCATCAAGTGAGAGAAAGAATAAGCTATTTTCCTCCGAACGTCTAGTAGAGAGAAAAATAGCTAACTCTCTAGATTTTTTCGTAGTGGCCCTTTGTATTTCTTAACATAATATCTTTATATCTCAGATAAAGAATAAACAATCATTGATTGCTTTTTGAAAGAGAGTTGAATGAGATAGTTGATCGGTAATCGCGCAAATAAACGTTACGAAAAGAAGGATATTTTCAGATTTTAACGCTTCAATTTCACTGCGTTTAGTCTTTCGAAGTGATAGTGTGTGTGCGAAGTTTGAGAATTTCTGGAATACATCGTTTTATAATTTCACGTTTACATATTCGACGCTACATTTGCATCAGGCGAAACTTGTTTCGGTGTAACATTTTGGCGCTTCGACGTAAGGTTTGTTTCGTGTGTTTGGGTGCCAGTGATGATGAGTTATGAACTGTATGAATAATCGTGAACTTGGGACACACTAACGACACGTTGTACGTTGAAAATCGGAAACACATCTCCAAGTTTCAGATTTCGTAATGTTTCTCCGAGCATCGGTATTGTTTCCTTAACATAACGAAAATCTGAGATAAATCAAATTTTGTCGTGTGAATAAATATTCAATAAAAATCAAATAAGATAAGGGCAAATTTTATTTTAGTTTATTTTTTTGATGGTAAATTGCCAATTTAAGTTACGCCGAGTAGTTTCTCAAGACATCGTGTTCGAAGTTTCGACGATCCTTTACGTCCGCTGTTAGCGGTCCAGCGCGAAGTTTGCCATGATCGAATTTCCAAACATATCAAGTACGAGTACGTAGCTATTCACGCATTAACTTCCAAAGTGGCTTTCGAGCATTGTTTATGACAGAATGAGAGATAATATAATCAAATAAATCGACATCTTGCTTTCTTTTCTATGATTTCTCATGGTTTTTTTTTCTCCCGATAGAAGAGAGATATATATTGTTTTCTTTTTCTCAAAAAGGAAAACGATCATTGTTTTGTTGACCGAGTTTTGATACAACCGTGAGATATCGGTCGACAGAATTGTGGCTCTTGAAGAAGAAAAGTGAAAGTTTCTGTAGAACTTGTCCCATCTTTGTCTCTTAATCCTTTTAAGTCTGACATTTGTTACAACTTCGTCTTCGAAAGTGCTACACGTAATATATTCCGTAGACATTATTGGTGTTATGACGGTAATAAGATAAAGTAAACTGTATAGTTTCAGAAGACTGTTAGTATTATTATTGTGAATAAATTAATACGGAGTGTGTAGAAGGTTTTATTTTTAAAAAGATATGCTAAAAGAGTTTATTTCGCGAAAATTTTATGCTGATAAAACACACGCGCGGAAATGCGAAAGATACATATTCGCGGTTGATTGTACTTCGTGCCGAATCTTTAATAATAATCGCAATGCTCGCATTTCAATTAATACATTTGGTCTACGTAATCTCGAGTCACGAAGAGTCTAAAGTGATTAACGTCTTTCTAAACAAAAAGAGAAGAGAAAGAAACAACGTATTTCTATAAACAATATATAATTCTTAATTCTCGCTAATGTACTTCTCAATTTTACTTGAAAACAATAATTTGTCCAAAAAACAATAATCCATTAAATTTTATTTTGCTTCAAATTTGAAAAACTGTCGAACTTCCAAAATTTATCTCACAGCGTATCTTTGTTATTTTTTGAGTTTGTGAAGTTTGCAGTGCAGAATTGAATCAATACAGAATGCAAGTTTCTGCATAGAGCTTGTTGCGAACAAGTAACTACCAATTCGCGATTGTTGGGCTCGATATGCGTTACACGCGTCTCGTGCGCTATTGCAATAACGTTTACAATCAAAGCTTTTTACTCTATGAGTTTTTCAATGCTGTACGATGTAGTTTTAAGCTTCCAATGTAAATACATTTGTAAATATTCTACGAGTTACAAGAGCGGTACCGTCAATCCTATCGTTACACACATTTGGCTTCGTGTTACACACGTGGCACGGTTAATGACAGAGAGATCCGGTTAAATTAGGTGAAACACAAGATTCTCGCACGCGCGCGCATCCGTGCGCCTAAATTCAAACGAATACGTTTCGCTTTTGACGTACTGTGTTACTTTGTTAAATTAATTTGTATAATGTTGTAAAAACAAAAAATCGCATCACGAATAATTTGCGCAAAACAATATGTATTATATATTGAAGTTCTAAAGTCTCGTTAAAACAGAACGGAAGAAACGCAATGTGGAAATCTATTTGATGTCGAAAACAGGAAATCGATCTACTCTAAAGTCTCTCGGTTTTTAATTCCGATGGATTTTTTAATTTATGTAACCCTCCGCGAACGTAAAGTCTATTTAAATCCGCGCGAACCGACTGCGAAGTTTAAGCTCTTTCATAACTTTGTCCGGAAAGTTCGCCGACTCTCATTCGCTCATCTTACTCTATCCGCGATTCATCCCCCGCGGAAAGGTGGTGCCGCTCCATCTCTCGTTTTCACCTTCGTAGATCGCGCCACGTGCCACTTAGCGCCGTCGTAAAGAGGTAAGGGGACTTCTTGGCGAAGTCAATTGCTTCTTAGCGAAGTTCTAACGCTTTGCTTTCCGTGTCACACTAACGAAGCGTAGAGTGACAAGTGCGAGCGTAAACAGGAATCGGACTGGCTTGCAATTCGCACTCTTCTTTAATGAAACTCGTAAAATGTAGCCACAAAATTCGCGCAACAAGGAGAGATGCAGAAAGATAAAAAGGGAGACAGAGAAAGAAAGAGAGAGAGAGAGAGAGAGAGAGAGAGAGAGAGAGAGAGAAACAGAGAGACAGAGAGAAGAGGTGTAAAGACTAGTCTTCTGTTATAGCGTAACACTTCGAGAGATGTTAGAAAAGTTTCTTACAGAATTCTGAGTAAGATGGCTGTATTTTTCTAACCTGATATACTTTTCTTCCCTCTGTATATAAACAACATGATGTGTATGATATGTATCGATATACATGTATCGATATAGGTACATACGTGATATGTACGTGACACGATATCACCATTTGCGAAAGCGAATCAACGTAGCGCTGTATATCTGTGTAAATATACATCTAATTGGAGAAGCATTTGCAATTGCGTTTGTATGTTTGAGTGCGCGCATATATGTGTGTGTGTGTGTGTGTGTGTGTGTACGTGCGTGCGTTTTTGTGTTAGCGAGTGTGTGAGGAGAAGGTGTGTGTGTGTGTGCGCGCGCGAGTGTGTGTGCGAGCTCGCGGAAATTGCGATAAAGTTTCTGATGATTCTCAATAGAGTCCGAATTACAGAAACTTTTTGTTTGTGCAAAGCGATCATAATGGCACGTTGTTTTTCGAAGGTGAAAGAAGTGTTGGACTGCTATATAATGTTAAAGAGGAATATATATATATATATATATATATATATCTATATATATATATTATGTGACACGTAACGTGCGCACGTGTTATGCTGATGTGTGATATTGGATGCTGTTTTTTCCTATGGATTTCTTATTTATTATCACCAATGGTCTATACAGGGCATAGGTTTAAGAAAAGAATCTTTAATTTGCTGAGATTATAAATTGCGATCAAAGAGATACATAAAAGAAACGCTGTATGTACCGAAGGCAATACCTACACATACTTAAGTATGCGAAAAAAAAAAACAAAAATACGCAAGACACATTCACACGCCACATGAACATACACACACAGAAAGAAAACACTTGTTAAAAGTAATAAAATTATAGTATAAATGAGAAATGATGTTGTTTTAAAATATATTTTTCCTTCTGATTTTATTTACATCCCGAGTAACAGTAACGAAGAGAAAAGATGCAGTTATATTTTCAGTAACAGAATGAACATTTTTACTGATTTAATTTTGCGTTTCGTGCATGTACTTGACTTATAAATAAGCGCGCGTTTCTGTAGTACATATCGCTTATTAATAAATAATATATAAAACGACGTTGTGTGCGCTAATAAATTTGCTCTCGGAGCAAATGTTGCAATCCCGCACTTGAGAAAGCTGCACTTTGTATAATCACGAAAAAGTTTCAATTTGATTACAATAATGAAAAATACGAAAGCCCGGTTCAGATTCAATTTGCAATTAAATCGCTCATGCTATCTCCATAAAACGCACGAATGAAGTAATCTAACGTAAGCCGACGGTAGATTATTCACTTCACCGCGCGGAGAAATTCTAGCAGGAAGGAAAACGAGATAAACCTATATTATTCTTGCCAGACCGTAATTAAGTGTGAACTTACGACGATTTTCAGTCAGTCAGTTCGCAACAAAAAGCAAATGAAAATGTGTGAATAAACGCGCGGGTAAATTCTTTAATCTAAATTACAAATTGTATAAACTTGTGAAGCAGACGATACACGACAATCATCTCGCGTAATAGCTTGAGAATATTCGAGAAGTTTTATTTATAAATCAACAAAGTGTGAAATATAATAACGTAAGATTTAAAAAACGTTTCATTATTAAACGCAGATATTCAAAAATATAAATTGCTATAATCTCACTTGTGTATATATTTTCACAAAAAAAAATAAATAAATAAAATTCGATTATCGGATAATCTCCGCCATTGAGGTTTTTGCCAAAATATAACAGCTTCAGTTCATCGTACACGTGTGACATTGGTTCGGGTCAATGCAATCTGCAGTGACAACGGTCACGGCCAACTACTACGGCCGTTAGCAAAATTCAATCTGCAGCGAAGTCGTTCGGTGCCAACTTTTACGAACGTTTGAGAAAGAAAGTATATTTTAGGACTTCGACTCGTTTTATAGTTGTGTGTGAGCACTGTGGCTCTTGACCATGAAACAAAAGAGTGAGTAAACCGAAGAAGATGGGTATGTAAAGAATGGAATAAAAGCGTATAAAGTGTCTTTACAGAATGCCAGGAGAATTTTAAAAACGCAAAAATGAAGTACTTCACAGAAAATGTAACAAAAGAATTGACTTGCACGAATGTATATATATATATATATATATATAATGTACATTTTAGATACTCTAGATAAATAAAATATATAACAAATTATATGTCAAACTTAATAACTTAAAAGTAAAAACAACTAATTGTATCATGGATAATTTTAATTGCAAAAACAACGTAAAACATTTTCACAAACAGTAGAACCGCATCCTTTGGTATTCTGTTCAATTTAGCCGGACGCGCGCGATGATTGCAGATAAATATTATAGATGATATCTAATCTGAAAAGAATAAAATTTTATACATATATAAGTCGCAAAATTGCGAAGGGTATCCACACAATGGATGCAAAACAAACCCAAGTAAGTATATTTTGATCTTATATTACACCGCAAATTTTGCACGTACAATTTAGCACGTTGTTACTTGCCATTGTATTACAATCTAATTCAAGTTTTAGATCAGTTTTACATTACTTATAATTTTATTATGCTCACGTGCATATATGTCAACATATAACTGAATTTCTGCAATTAAATTTAATTAGGCTTTGATCAAATAATGTATATATGTACATATAAACTAAATTTTGATATATAGAATATTGCATTTATTGTGTAACTCGACACGGCCCGCAAATGCTCATACATCGGCGAGTTGAAACGTATTTATGCGCGTATATCCTATTTTATGCGATTCCAATTAATTTAATTATAATTTCTCTTCAAGCACTTCTCTTCAATATACACAAAGATATATATCTGCATATATAAATAAATCACGAGCTCGCTTAATGTTCCGTAAACGCGTTCAGAATTTGTTCCGTCCGGTCTCGTTTCGTCTTTAATCTGTCGCGATTAATCATATTTACCGACTGCGCGAAAATAATTGCTGACGTGCGCGCGCGCATTCTCACAAAACAAGCAACGTTACGCGATTCTTCCTCACTTCTCGGCAAAGAGAAATAGAAACTTCTTCGGGTAATTAATGTAAATAAGAAACTCTCAAGGCGGATGAGACGCCTCGTTTCTTCTTGCCTACCTACGTTTTCCTTCTACCTTACGGTTAAGAGAATCCAACACCTGTGGCACTCGGAATGGTACAACGATCGTATTCTTGCAGTAAATTTTTGAAGGATTTACGAGCGACGTTACGTCCGCAAACGAAAAATACGCGAGAGAGAGAGACATTTTATTTTTGTGCACGATGGAAAACTTTCGTTCTTGAACGACACGCGTTTCAACACTTGTCAGTTGAGAAATATGACGGGATCATCTTTTCACAAACTAACGATAATCCGCGAATAAAAATAAAAGAAGATAGATTTGAAAGTTTGTATATTTTTTCACAATTTAATATTTTTCGCATCACTTTAATATTTTGCAGGGCACTTTATACGAAGCAATCACTCATTTTAACGTACTTAACAATGCAACAAATTGATTTTGCACTTCTCTTCTAACCGAATGGCCGTAGTTTACGATTGCTAACAAAATTGTCGGGCGCCAACATGTATGATTAACAACATTAGAGTTTATTAATTAATATCTCGCGAGTACACGTTACATATTCATAAGCTTTTGCCGGCGAACTTCCAACGTTCGATGGCATTTACCGAAGTAAATGAACACACTTCCAAATGGTAATTAGAATTTTACTATTACATTTGCGTATATACATACATTTACCGATGCACGTACATACATACAGAGCGGAATAATAAAATTTTTATTGCACCTACTAACAAACAATTAGCAATTTAAAAATACATTTTTTCATTGCACGTTTTTATTAAAAATTACTCATCGAGTTGTTAAGAAATGTTAAAAGTATTTGACAAATAATTCAGATAAAATTATTTTTGTTCATAATAACATACGCATGTGTGTGTGTATATATATATATTTTTTCTATTTTTGTCTGCAATTATTATTAATTAAAATTTACCACGGAATATTAAATTAATTAATTATTTCAATTTGCAATTCTATCAAAATGTTTTCTAAACTGTTTTTGTTTTGTTTTTTTTTACAACAGTTATTGCTTCATTCGAGCGATTATAATACAATGCTCATTCAATTACGAATGACGTTTAACTCGCGAAAGTTGAATTAAATTCGATCTGTTAAAAGGAATAATAAATTTATCAAGTTGCCCGCTGCGCACGGAAAAACGAGAATATGAATGTGCTAAAATTAATGACAAACCTCGAAGCGACGCGAGATATAATTTCGTTCTTTTAATATTCGCTCCTTACTCCCGCGTATTTTATCTGCGCGAATAACGCGAAAATATATATCCGTTTCATAGACTGCTTAATTTACTCATGGAAATATAAAGTAGTTTGCTCGATATATAGCTTCAAGCGGAGGTGTAAGATAAAACTAAATAAATTTTATGAAATCATAAAATAGCAAAGAGTGACATATGGGGGAATAAGATGAGAACGCACAGGTCAATACGGGGTAAAAGGAGAGGAAACGAAAGGAGAGAAGCTGGTCGTAACCGGCAGACACGAAGCTAATAAAAGCGTCCAAAGTAATATTACGTGTCGTTATTAAGGAAGCGTTTCCGAGCGACATGAGTACCGGGCGAAGCGAAACTCGCAATCACGCCTTGAGAACTCACTTTTGCAAATGCGGGTTCGTGCGCTTGCGTCGGTAATTTTGGCGGAGTTAAGCCCGTTTCCGCCATCCCAAGCTCCATCGGCCTCATGGCAGCAGGATTACTCGCATGTAACGTGTAATTTATCCCACCAAAACCGCCTAGCTGCAGCTGCAAACCTGCAAAGTACGATAATTGCGTTAGGTCCGCCGGCTGCGCGCGAAAGAGTTGTTGAACAAACGAACCCTCAAGCGTAATCAGCCGATTGATTGCCGGAAAAGGTTCGCACTATGAGACGAATAATTAAAAAAACGTATATATATATATCGACACGGTTTTAAATTGAGAGAAAAAAATACTCCTTCGGAGTAAAGTGAAATCTGATAATCTCTGACAAATTGTTTTTGCAATACAAAATCGATGACACTAAATCGTGCGTGTGTTTGCAACTTGAGGTAAAAATTTAATATAATTCAGTTTTTTCAACGCTTTTTCTCTTATCGTATACACAAACTGTTCAAATTAAATTTAATAATTTGTATTTACATAAAAAATTTCAACGATAAATTTTCGTCAGAATTCAAATGCGCGTCATGTTGTTACTTCGCTTTCAATGAACTCGCGAGCGTACAGAAAAGCTTTGTTATGTTAATTATAACTCTGTAACAACAAATCGAAGATGTAAAACTTTATGTAGCATGTGGTTAAGATACCTGCGGGATACCAGAGATTTCTTGCCTCTTGAGTTTGCTGTAATTGTTCCGCGCGATGTAAACTTTGCCCAAGGCTCAAAGTTGGTATGCTCGCAGGCATGCCCGGCGTCATGCTACCAGGTATGCTCGTTGATATGCTTCCAGTTATGCTTCCAGATATACTATTAGATATACTCGGAGTCAGACTGTTTGGTATGCTCTCCATGAAATCTGAATGTAGATTCAGGCCTGAGAAGTGAAGCAAATCGTTTTATTTTTCGTTAATATTTAGAACATTTCTGTAAGTCGCTACTTCAACCGAAGTAATTCTGTGATGTAATTCTGAATTACAGAAGAAAACTTTTGTAAGATAATGTTTTTTACAGAGAGAATTTCTACATCTATTATGTAGACGTTTGTGTTTTTTTTTTAAATGAGAAATAACATTTATAAGATTTGATTTTTTACAATTTTTTTACTTGTTACTTAACGAAATATAATAATAAACTATAATGAACCGTGTTGTGTCACACCTATCGGTAAATTGTTACTTGTGTCGAACGTCATTACGGATTTTGCTGGCAGCATCGTGGAAACGTCAGCTTTAGTTTCCATCGGCCACGAAATGGTCGAGATGGGTGCGACAGATAGACTTGGTACAATGAGATTCGTCTTTCCGTTTAGAGACAGCGGAACATAACCGGACGACGCTTCCGGCTGTGGGAATTGTTGCAAAGACCAGTCTTGTTTAAGTCCCTCGGGCAGCGCGTAGTTTGTCAAGGAGTTCTGAGCGCTCTTCAATCCGTTCTTGTACTCTTCAGACAGAATGTAGTTCAGCATGGAACTTTGAATATCAGTCGTTATGCTGTTCTTTGACGCTTTCGGCATTAAGTTGCTCTTTAATTCACTTTTAGCGGGAAGAGATGTCAAGACAGCTCCGTATTCAGTGGCGTGGAAATAAGTCGGTCCGATGGTGCTAAATCAAAACCCAGATTCACGAGTTATTGTGTTCTTGTTTTGTTACTACAAATCACATTTCTCTTTTTTTTTTTTAATTACAAAATTCTGAAATCGTAAAACTAATAATGATTAAAACATCGATTTAATGCAAAAAAAAATATAATTTTGATAGAAGACACAGCGATGTAGCTGCTTTCAAATCTCGCCGCAGTAGTATTTAAATTTGACTTGTTTGGCAATTGAGTTGAACTTTACGAGTTTATACAGTGTAGTTACAACGTTGTAACCAACCGGACAAGTAATAAAGCTCGGGGCAGCCATTACGTACTTTCCGGTGAACGCTATTGGTGTTGCCGTAGTCGTGACAGGCGAGCTGGGCTTGGTTGTTAAACTCGTTAAGATATGACCTACAATCGAGGATTGGTTTGCGCTAACTGAGATTGATGGAACAGTTGTTATAGCGCCATTAGATATAGTTGGTGAGCTGTCAACCGGCTAAAAGTAATAAACAAACTTTTATTACCTCATTGGCTGTTCAACTTCAATGTGCAATATATAAATTTCAATAAATTTTTATTTATCGCACAAAATTGCTCTTTTCCACATGTAATTTTGCACTATCTTCTGTAATTTACAATGTAATAATATTTTACATTTGCGTTCACAGTTATTATAAATTAAGATGTACATACAATAAATTTATCTACTTAACAGCGCGGGTTTTATTTTCCTGTTATCTATTCTGAAATCCCTACATTAATCTTTTCATGTAAATTGCACAATCGTTCAATCGTCTGCCAAATGTTACAGTTACCAGATTTACGTCTGTGCTTAACAACACATGTTAGTTTTTAATAGTCCTGCTCACCGCATTACATTTGCCGCTCGATTTCGACGATCCCGACGTCAACATCGGACCGAGTTTCATCTTGAAAGCTTCTAACGAATCAACTTCGTCGACGTTAGAAAGAAACAAGTGTTCGGAAGACGAAAGCATCGGCATGGATGACATTTCGTGTTCATGGCTACCTGCCGTAGTTGAAAAAACGAAAAAAAGCAATCTAAATGCACAATTGCTACAACTGCTTACATAGTTTGATGCAAAAAAATCAAACTTAAATCTGAAAAAGAAAAAGCTAAATATAGTCAGTACAATATTCATAAATCTTACCGTATTTTGTCCAAGATTCTCCGCGAGACATTAGATCCTTGTGTCGTCCGTACGAATCAATCGGTTCGTTGTTGTCTCGATAGACCGTGTTAAAAATAGACGGAACTTCGGCAGAAGCTACTTGCTTCCGAAACAATGCTTGTTTAGTCGGAAGCGATTGCTCGTGAAGCCAATTTTTAAATACCGCTTCGGCGTTTACGTTCGTAAACTGCTGCTCTTTGAGCGGCATTCGATACGTCGACGCTTGTTCCTCGAAGATTTCGTCCGACGCGAGCGACGTGCCTCGTCCTCCTACAAAAAAATCGTCTTGGACGATTGCTCGTTGTCCACGTGCATCCTGATTTCTCGATAACGTGTCTCTGAACAACGGTTGACCGAACGTCGTCGCCCTGACGGCATTTTGTTTGAATGGCTGATGACGAAGAATTGGAAATTCGAACGGATAGACCGTTCGATCTCTCAAAGGTACGTCTTGAAGAGTCTGCTGGCTGATAGTCTGATCTACCGCTGGCGAATGCGACGGAATTTGCTGACCGATCATCTCGTCGACGAATGGCGGACCGAGAAGGAAATTCCGTGGACGAAGTTTGCGATAAGACGTGACGTCTGTGGTGAAAGAAACCGCGCCATTTCTGCTTACGTATGCTTCAACAATCACTGCCGTTACCGCAACGAGAATCTGAGGAAAGACGTTTATGACACTCACAGTTAGAAATGTCTCGATTATGTAACTCGATGATTTTTTTTTATCAGTAAAACTCACCAAGACTCGCATGTCGATTGATTCATGTGTGTATCGCACGAACTGTGTATATTTTTATTATTATTTTTAAGAGTGCAAATATTTAATATAAAAGAGATTCTATGTGTGTGTGTCGCAAGTCTTGTCAGCGACCGATGTCAAACTTAATGACTATAGCGCAAGCATGTGAGTGATCGACGATCTTATATAGGATTGATGATCTCTTTCTTCCAGTTCTTCGCCCTTCCACTTCTTAGTACAAGACTGGTCTGGCAAGATGCACTCTCGACGTCTTTCTCTTTCATTGATTCAAGTTATACTATGACTTTTTTTTTTTTCACAGAAGTATCGAAAGAAAGACATTCCGATTATGAATGCACTTTGTAATCGTTACTTATTTCTTATATTTTATAGTTATTTAAAACTATATTGAATCTCTCTCGATAAATGAAAGATAGTGAAATATCTTTGCAAGAAATTTCTTCGTCCCCGTGTGCGTCGGAAAGAGAAGCGAAAAGAACAGCGCGGAAAGAAGGAGAATTGTGCTCGCCACGGCGCGTCTTAAATGCAGATGCACGAAGAAGAAACCGGAGCCTTCTTGAAGGGAAAATTGCTTGCAATGGAGACGGCCAATTGCAGAGGTTGCCCTTTATGCACAGATGAATGAATTACAGAACGAAGAATATAATTTCAAAGGAACTCGTTTTCCGCCAGCTCTCTTTCGGCTTTCACCAAGGAGACAAATCGGGATTGAAGAGAACGCGGGAGGGGAAAGGAAAACAGAAAAGAGTGTACGAAACTCTACGAGAAAAGACAAAAGGGAGAGGAAAATAGTCGCGGGGCGGCGCAAGTGTATCTTCCAAATAAACGCGCCGCGCGAAACGCTCATCTGCATTTCAACGATCGCGCAAACTTTACATTTCGTGCCTTATAGACGCGGATTGCTGCTTTCTTCGCGGGTAAGCCGGCAAAAGGCAATAATCACCGAGCTAGAAAAACGGGATTAGCTTCTGCTTTTTCCATCACGCTCCGTGAATCGCGTTTGCTTTCGTCGCGTCGAAAAGATTCAGACTTATCTGAATAACCGCTCTCACCGAAATAACCCGATTCTAATTCGAAGTTATCCGCTTCTCATTAAAAAAAAAAAAAAAAAAAAAAGAAAAAAAAAGCTCCTCGTCTTTTTCTCTCTCTCGGAGAAATAAGGAAAAGCAATCTTCATTATTCCGAGAAAAATAAAGGGAAACAATAAACAACTACCGAGAGAGGTGTAATAAATGACAATAGACTGTTTGAACGTCGGAGTTTGGAAGAAGCTTATTCCGATGTTCTTTTATTTATTTTTTTATTTTTTTTTACTCGGAAGGAGAAATTATTGTCGGGAATACTTTTTAAGTGACCAAGTTATCGAACTTTTTTAATGGAGCATTTGTTTTATTTAAAAGACGCCGTTTTGTAATTTCGTTCGTATACAAACTCGGAAATTTAAGCCGGCAGTATAATTTTCATTACTTCCTCACTGTTGTTTCTTTAAAACTCGAAACGCGCAAAATCCCTTTAGCTATCTCTTTGCTACGCGAAAACTTTAAAGACAAGCATAATTCACGCGTTCATGAGAACGCCGCTGCTCGGGGACACTAAAATGTTACCGCGTTTATCGAAGGTCGACTGGGTTTAAGAGTGTACTATGAAAAATGTTTGCTTTCAAGCTGGTCGCTTCGAATCGTAAAGGTGAATAGCGGGACACGTGATATCCATGCATACATACATACATACATATGAGCTTCTTCTTTTATGAGAAGAAACTTGGAAAATCCGCATTACCAAGCTTTCACAAATTTTTTTAATACTAATATTAAATAATATATATATATATATATATATATATATATACATATATCTTGCGTATTTTTTCATTATATATTCCTTCTTTTAATTCCAAGTTATCAAAGTACTTCTTATTAAAAAAAGCTTATTGTTTCTTTTCTCGGCGAAACAAAGAAAAACAATTTTCATTGCTCCGAGAAATAAGGAGGGACAATAAATAACTACCGAGATGTAATAAGATGATGTAATAGAGCGTTTGAACGTCGGACTTACGATGAAACTTATTCTGATGTCGTTTTCTATCTTTTATGAAAATTTTGCACAAGTTTGATGATAAAATTATATAATGTAATAAAAGTTCACATTATAAAACACTGTTGTAATAATAGGTACTAAACATTTTGCGCGTCAAAACTTATAATGCGATTGCACTACGTCGTTTCGGGAAATTTGGAAAGGAAATTTATACTGTGCGATGCAACATAGTTTTGTGAGAAGTATCGGATTTTTTCTGAACATTCGATTATATTACATATAACTGTCGAAGTGGAACGATGGATATATTGCTATCACAACTAAGTTAATATTCGCTGTGAAAAAGCTATGTATTCAATTTAACAAAACATCGTGCAAAATTTACGTAGAATAGAAGCGAAACATGTTTCGAGATAGAAACGTCAAATGGTTACAAAATATTGAAAACATGCGCAAATGCAGATTTTAATAAACAAAAAAAAATAGATAAATCGTAATTACTTAACAGAGAGCAAACTTGCAACTCTTGTTTGTTACTTTTATCTCATTTTCTTTTTTAATAATTACAAATAGTTGTTAATTATATATCAATGTATTTCATAAAGTGTGCACGTTCTGGCAGATGTTGCGGCGGGTTTTTATGTATATCTATCAATCTGAAATTCTCAACACAATAGATTACCATGAAAGCTTTCCAACAAATTGAAATTGCGGTTTTGAACATCGTTTAAATCAGTTACGAGATAATACACAAATGCATGTAACATAAAATGCGTGTAAAAATAAGTGTGTTTGTGACGTAATTATTGTTTTATTGATACAATTCAAAATGCATAGGTTTAAGAAAAACTATTATGTAAATTTTCTTATAATGAATTACTCAAGAAAAGAGATATTCTTATAAACTTACGTTTGTGTACGAATGCAACGCAATGTTACAGTACAGTTATGTACATTACAATACATATATGTTTGTACTTTGACATATGGTAATAAATTTGACATTGCAGTTTGTAAATAAATGCATTTTGATATGTATTCAGATAGAACACCATATATTTGCTTATACGCAATTTGTTTGGAATGTGCAGAATATTGATGTAACGCATCGTTGGTGCGCCAGATGTAGTATACTTGTGCGTATATGTACTATACTATATCGAGTTTAAGTCATCGTAAAAAAAAAAAAGAATTAAAATTTTGTCAGTGTAATATTCCATTTTTTAGAAGTTTTAGAAATATAAATATATGTATATGTGTATAAATTTTACAAGAAATATTAAATATCGCTTCTAATTACGTATTAAAATAACTTTAGTAACACATGGTTTTATTTCATGCAAAGAGAATATAATTCATATGTGTGTAAATAAATTGATATCAGATCTCTTCTTAATAACAATATTAAAATATACATTGTTACACGATGTTTTATTGAACTGCGCTTTTGTAATTATAATCTCTATTTTGTCCAAATTATTAATGTTCAAAACTCCATGCACGTACTTACCAAGTATTTATTAAACGTTGATGTGCAATTTATTAAACGTTGATGTTTGATTTATTTGCCAATATATTCGTTAGCGTAAAATTTAATTTAGTTTTACGATGTCAAAAATCCGAATTAAATCACACTTGGCGAAAAATCAAAATGAATTAACAATAATTACCTTGCTCCCAGAGTCAAAATTTATCTTACCGTATTAAGCACACAAAAAAATTCTTTAACAATTATTTATTATAACGTAAATCTCGTATATTACATTAAATTACAAAATATTTTGACTTATAAATAATTATATTATATAATTACAATTATAATAATTATAACTTACGTGCTTTATTTTATTTTTATAAAAAGAAACGAAATGTTATATAAGAGTCTACTTTACATAAAATTCTGTTATATCGGAAAATATCTTATATGTAAAAATATAAAAAGTAAGAAAAATAGAGAGTGTGTGTGTGTGTGTGTGCGCGCGCGCGCATACGTATTTTATAATACGACCTAATTTTACACTACTGTGTGTACGAACAATGCTGGAATTCCGAAGTAATGCAATGCGAGAGAAAAATAGATCACTAATACAGCTCGATGATTAATACCCGGAGCTTGACATTCTCTAACAAGCGCATTGGATACTGTAAAAAACGCAACCGATCCCGTCGAGCACACTTTCACACCAAATAAGCTCGCGCAAGCGACACGCTAGAAATTGCAAATTTTACCGTCGATCTGTGCTTACGTGGCGCGACAATAGTGATTTACGAAGGATTTAATTGAAACGTTTTGGCCGCTGCCGAAATTGCTCGGCGGCTGCGACATTGTCCACACCGCGTGTCGCCACGTTCCAGGATGCAGAGAGAACCCGTTGTAACTTCTAATTAATACTGCAGAATCACGCGGACCGCATGGTGTCTATCGTCGTCACATGTGTATAAACGAGTTTGCGAACACACAATCGCGCAACTTAACATATCCCGTCTTGGAAAGTTGTTTGGTCATCGGCGATCCTGAACTTGCCCAACGAGAATCTTGCCAAATGAGTTCGCCATCGTTACTTTTCCATCCGGTTTATCTCGATTTTTCTGCCAGCTTCGTTTTTTTTTTTTTTTTATCGATGTACAATTAACATTAACCTTAATTTTATCCAGGTGCACGTATATATACTTTTTTAAAGATATTTTATTGCACGATCAACTTTTAAAGATATTTTATTGCACGATCAACTTTTAAAGATATTTTATTGCACAAAGCAACAATTTTTTTCTCGTCCGATTGTGCAATATATCTACAGGTAAATCGTCGGAATATCGGCGATTGGTCCACTATAAAGTCAAGTATTGAAAACGAAAAAATATTGACCGCGACATATTAATGGGCCCGTTCGTGCTGCACCGAAACATCAAGGTAATGAATTACGGCGGCGCGGATTTGTGGCGAGAAAACGTCACTGGCGCGAATTGTTTTTTTCCTCTTGCGCAACGAAAAAACACACGAATGCACTGCCGAATCGGTCGCGGAAATATTTTTGTTTCGGTCGATTTAAAAAAGAATTGAAGAGATTTTTGGTAGATAGTAAAGTATTATTATACGTATATATTTTTGATAAAACGATGGAAGAACAATTGTTATATATCACAGAACTGTAAAATTTATTTGTAAATTTTATTCGATCGACGATACAAAAATTCAAGATGATTACAACCGGGACACTATGTCCATACTTCGAGAATCAACAATCAACAAAGTAATGGGGACGATGCGATCGCTGAGCAGAGTAATAACAAAAACGAAACGTTTCTCTGCAAATTAATATGCAATGCGTATGAAAGCGTAGCCACGAAAAGAAAAACACGTAATCAAAATCACGAAAACGATAGAACACTCTGGAACGCGCGCGTTTCCATGCAAATATGCTCGTTGTGTCATTTTAATGCCACGCGCCGAAATACAAAAAATTCAAAAAAAAAGTTGAACGACGACTCATCGCCCGCACGAATTCATTACACAAATCATGTCCGAAACAAACATGAGTTTTACAAATGCATAAGAGAGATTACATACCGGGGCTTTCTCTTTTATCTCCGGTGGAGAAATTTGTTTGTGATACGAGCTTTGCCGCTAATATGAAGTTCTTAATTTCTCCCTTTTGCGTTATAAAATTGGTGTTCTGTGTTAGTAGTAACAAGATACGATTTCCAAATCACGATAACGACCGAGCCGTCAAACTTTTATTCTTTGTCAGGTTAAACTATCGCGTTCGAATTCCTCATTGAGCGCGAGAGATATTCTTACACGCGAAAAAATGCGGATAGATACGCGGCTATAAATACATTGCGCTTCGCGAGATGCTAAGGCTTGTTATCCGGCGAACGTGAGACATATGACTGTACTCTCCCGGAGTAGCGCCATAAAACCAACAACGTTTCATGCACGATAATGGTTAATGTAATGCTTGTATACGACGTACGCAACGATGCTTAGCAGCGCAAGTGTATCACTTGGGTCGGAACTTTTAGTTTTGATAGCCTTTTTTGATAGCGGGACTGTACGATATACGCGTATGAAGAAACTGCGTGCGAATATAACGTGTTACCATTAAATTATATGTCTCTCTTGTAAGAAGATCGATATGTTACATATTGTAAAATGTAGATGTGCAATTTTAGTGTTTATATGCGCGCAAACTGAATTTCAGTCTTTATTTGTATGATAATGTCTTTCTTCTCTCATCCATTATAATTTAGTAATAACACGTGTTTGTGTCTATTTGCATGAAAATTATTAATATGGATATTCGAGCGTTTTCAATAAATGCAAAGCAGTAAAAAATGGTCGTATATCATGCACGTGTAAGATTGGAAATAAAAATCGTTTTATTTTTCGTTTCTTAGTCCTATATTAAAAAAGGCATGACTGTGTAATTTATATTATATATAACATTAAATAATACATATTATACATATAATTTATTATATATTTATAATATTATACTTTATATTGTATTATATGTATTATATACATACTACAGTAATGTCACTGACCTCCGCCGCGCGGCCTTGACGGGGCACTGACCGCGGGCGCGCGGCCTTGGTGGGGGCGGGGTCACTGGCCTCGGCCGCGCGGCCTTGGTGGGAGGGAGTCACTGACCGCAGTCGCGCGACCGCGGCGGGGTCACTGACCGCAGTCGCGCGACCGCGGCGAGGTCAATGACCCCGGTCGCGCGACTGCAGTGAAGTCACTGACTTCGGCCGCGCGACCGCGGCGGTGTTACTGACTTTGGTCACGTGATTACGGTATATATATATATATATATATATATACATATATGCGTATGTGTGTGTATTATATATAGATATAGAATATTACATATAATATATATAATATTCTCTTTTTTACCCTTTTCCCTGTCACAAGACTTTAGTCACGTGTTGTTTTTCCACTTCTCTCTCTCACTATTTTTTGAGTTTGATTTTCATGCGTTATTTCTGACATTTCTCACATGTGTATTATATGGTTTATAAGACGTATATACTATCTGTCAACTCGGTGACAGGTTGTGTTCACTGACAACACGTTAAATAAAAATAACAATAGCGTGCACGTAGCGCGCGCCTGTGTTGTGCTAGTGTTAAAAAAAAAATGACTTTAATGAAAGCGTTGTACTTATTCTTTTCAGTCTCGCGGCTAAATTCGCACGTCTCTAATCTCAAACGTTGTCTCTGCGCGATCTATTCTCACGCAGACGACTGCGTCAAAAGTCAACAAATTCTTCAATGTACAATTCAAATGTTCGACACAACTTCCGCTGTGTCGAAATTGCAGTTACAATATATATCTCGATGAACCGATCTTTTCCTACGTAATGCATAGCGTAAAGAAAGAAAGACAAATGTATATTCACACATTTAAGAACGCAAATGAAAACGGAGCATTTGAATTTTCGTAGTTTTACTTTTGTTAGCCGATGAGTGCGTCTATAGCTCGCTCAGATACGAAAAATGTAATAACGGCTGCGGTAGCTGCATACTATTGCATTTTTCGAAGGCCAACGAGAAAACAAACACATGTAACCCGCGCGTATTCTTTACTATTTGCTTTTTGATGCGAATAAACTCGAGAAACCAAGGGCTCTTTGCGATGTTTCATGCATTTATGACGTTCGAATCCTGGACGATTTAGCATGTAAGGTACGCGGATCACTGGGTGAAAATTTCCCTTTCTTCTATATATGTATATATATACATATATATATATATAAAAGGCTCATTCAGAAAGCATTCGCTTATACAGCGAGACACAATGCAATTCAGCAGGCCGAGCGTGTTTCTGACTGCGCGTATATGCGCGGATTTAAATTCTATCCATAAACACGTTCCGATATAACCGCTCGAATGCAATTTTTACATTGAGATTTCTCTTTATCATTTGCGTGCTATTTTTCCTCGGCGGAATATTTGTGTTGTAGAGCAAAACAAAATAGCAATTAAACGAAATAAAATGATAGAGAGAAGAAAATAGAGAAAAATATAGAATATACTATTTTAAAGTGTATACAATTATTTTACGTTGTATACAAGTTGCTGTTATAATTTAAAAATAATAAATAAATACAAATTACATGAAAAAATCAGAACACGCTATATTACCGACCAATATACTCGGTCTTGTACGTTTGCTTCTGCGAAGCTTTGTAGAGAGCGCAGATATTCACTTTCTATCACGTAGCTCGTATGATAAGAGTTATATAGTTAGTATATTATCAAGAGATTTTGATAACAGGTAGCTATTATCGCTTACCGTTTCAAATCAAACAGAAAGTGTAAAATTCCCATGTCAGAATTTTTATTTCACGTATTACATTCTCCCGAATCTTTAATACATCAACTTAGCTACTCTCTTAAACTTGAAGTAATTAAAGCTGACGACCTGGACCTGGAGTAATTAATTACTTCGAGTTACTCAGATAATTATTTGTTATCTTAAAGTGTTCAAATATGACTTATCTAGCCTACTTGAGCGATGCAAGCAGCATGTCTGAATATTTGATAACACCGTTCGATCACTTATTGAATATTCAGGTGACATCTGTACATTTCGAGTAGTGGAAAAGTATCCAGATATCTCCGCGCCGGAGTAAATGTTGAATATTTGTTCGAAACAAAGTAACAATTCGCGTGACTTCGGAGACGAGACAGATCTCGTTCTTGCCGACAAGAACCTGGGGATAGTGAAACCAGAAGAAGAGAGTATGGTGATGGTCACAGAAAACGGCACATGCGCGCAAGGGGAAAAAGACGGTATCGAGCCAGGCGGCTAGTTGGCCGGTCAACAGACGGTGCTGTGCACCGTCAGTATCTTCCATCGCGCCTACAGCGGAGACGTCCGACAGCGGAGCGCGATTTTTCGCGAGCGTGGACGTACGTGTTTCGGGTGTTTGTTTCGCGTTTTTACTCGGCAAGCATTTTCTGCGAGCCTGTATATATGTCCGATATGCGTGCGTCAAGCCTCGTCGAAGGATGAGACCGTCGGCCAGTCCGTTGCCGTTTTCGTCGTTCGACGAATAATTTAACGTGCAGACTGAAGAGGAGACCCGATCGTGAGCGGTAAGAGCGATTTTGCGATAATGCGTGAGCTCAGACGGAATGTACGAGGCAAGGTGTACGCGCGCACGAGTGTGTGTATATACGCGCGAGCGTATGAGCAATATACGTGCGTGCGCGCGTGTACAGCAGACGTCTGCTGCACTGGCGCGATCACGAGACGTGTCATGCGTGCAATGCTGTGGCCAACCGCACACACCGGTGCGTCTTCATCTCGGACCACTTCCGAAGTCTCGCGGCAAATGATCGTTGATGCATTTTTTTGCGCGCTTTTGTGCGCGCTCAAAGTTCAATAATAATAATTAAAATTTAAAGATTTTAATCGATATTGTTTTAATTCGATACGGGGATTTGTTTAAACGTTGCATTTCGAAATAAAAAAAAAAAAACATGACATTTTCGTTTGAGAATTTATTGAATACAGGTAAAAGGTATATTAAATATTTATTTTCGACGTTATTAATTGCTCGCTGAGATGATGGACCGATGTTTCCATCCATCAGAACGGCGAGCGCTCCAAATTGAATGGTACCGCGCTTCAGTGTTCCGTGTCAACCAGTTTGCATGTATATAGAGCATGTAGTAGCATGAATGGATTACTGGCCGTATAGCGAAAGTGCATTATCGTCTCCTTGCGCGGTGTATTAAACACGCGCGCTAATTAGTTGGGTCATCACGTAGGTGAGGACGACCGCGCATCGTAATCCACTTTCTCGCACGCTCACACTTGAGATAGATTAAAACGTTTCCCTCTATGTTAACTCGCTATATATCACCTATCAATAAATACTCCCACATGAAGGAGGATTTTGTTTGGCGAAATAATTGGCCTCTACTGTGTTCGACGACCATCGAAACTCGACGTACCGAACAAGCGCGGTGTGTGTTAGAGCTCGCGCGTTCTCTTTCTACATCTTTTCACCTTCTCTCGCTTCTCTCTGACGGTCGCCGCGCGTGTGCGTGCCACTCGTGCGTGTTACTACGTGCGCGCATACACACACGCGCGCGCGCGCGCGCGCACGCACGCACGCACACACACACACACACATACGTATCACACGTATTGTGCGCGCCATCCGGCGAGCGAGCGACAGGCAGTTACGAGGCGACAACGACGACTTGCTAATTAGAAGCTATCGGCGCGAGAGATAAGCTGCGAATAAGGCATATGAGATAAGTGCGATGAGGAAGAGAGACAGAAAGATATATGTATGTAGGTATGTACGTGTATGGGAAACAACGGAACACGACCCTGACTGCGGGACTTCCCGAGGGATTTTTGAGGTCAAGGGAACCAAGAGGCGCCGCTCGACGATAGAAGGAGGAGGAGGGGAAACGTGCGCGGAGGGAAAGGTCTCGCGCGCCGCGCGCTTACGACTCTCGCACGCGCCAGACAAGTCGAGAGTCGATCATCGCTCCGATACCTAAATCTCTCGGTCTTCCCCTAGCTCTATTCATTGTTCATCCACGCGCTCTTCGTTCGACGAGGCACATGCCGTGAATATCTTCGCCGTTCGGCGCTCTTCGTAATCCTGGCGTCTTTTATAGATGAAAAGTCAACAGACAGAAGATCGCATGTGTGTCGAATAGGCGCCATCGTTACAGGCGCGTTTTACATAGGCATACAGACACAATACAAATTTTTTTTTTTTCACGACAATGACTATATTATTAGTCATTCACGCAAATATAACACAGTAGACATTGGTCTCTCAGAAATGCTTGTTGTAATCGTATCGGAAACTTTTCGCTTTCCACATCTTTGTTTTTGCTCTTGAGAGAATTATCATTATCTTTCGATCTTTTCCGTGGAACAGCAAAAACACAGCGCGACGTGCGCGTTTCTCGGAATATAATTCTCTGTCTCGTAAAAGCTATAATAACTTACTTAACTTATGCGTTATTAGAAGAAAACCTCAGATCGCGATTGTGTTCAATCAGACGCGACAATCTCGCGAAATATTATATTGCAGAACGGGTTTTATTTCCGCGATAAAAAAATGCAAAGTTCAGATAACGTTCAATTATCATATATTCGTCATAGTACGTGCGTCGTATTACAATTGCAAAATTGGCAATTTTAGATTTGCGAAAGAGAACTTACGTGTCTCCTAAAATTATACGTCATGTATAATCCTGTCTCTCTCTCTCTCGGCAAACTTTGTATTCTGCAAGAAATACGCGATCGCGTTTAATATATAGATATATTTCGACAACTGCAAACTGCAAATCATCGATTTGTCTCGCGTTAGCCACGTGGAACGCGACGCGCGCGTCTCATTACAGTGAGACAAACATATTGCATAATAGAGGTTTCTACTTAAGAATTACCGTTTGGCCGATATCGACGAGAGACAAAACAAATGTCTTTTTTGTTATTCAGCAAAGCTATATATATAACATTGTTTAGTTGAAAAATGTCAGCTCGAATAAAGAACAATTCTAATTACTTCATTCAGCTACAAACAAAAAAAATAATACAAACGTGTATGATCATTTAATTTTCATACAATTTTACATGATCACGTATTTGCGTTTTCTAATTTTTTCTCCGATTATTTCAGAATTACTAAAGTGAAACAAAATTTGCGGATTACGTAAGGCTAAATGTGTTTCGGAAAAAAAAAAAAAACCACCGCAATGAGTGCACGATACTGAAACATAGCTATTTTACAAATGAAAGCAAGCAGGTCACAAACCTCACTTGCTTTCATTCCATCTAAAGTGACCATTAGATTTATTAAGCAATTTATTGAGCGGTCAGTGTCGCGGCAATTTAACCTTCAACTCCGGAAATTATATAGATAATTACTTATTGATCCGTGGATAGAGAAAGAGAGATAATTGAATTTACGTAGCAATTAATTGTTTTATAGCAGACGTGATTTAATAACTTTGTGCTTTTTTTTTCGTTACTTTGCACATCATGGTCGAAACACTCGCGCTTTGTGCGCGAAATTAAAAAGTGGCAGCTAGAAAAGCTTTTTTATCTTCACTTATTTACACTTTTGCTTACGCAAAAATGTTCTTTGTGTTCTAAATTTCTTTAACGCTACACACCGAGATAAATCGCCAACGGGGGCTTATCGGCGTCCAATTACGACACTGCGAACCGATATTAATCAAGACGATTCCTTATCTCCACTTTTACTCGCCATCTTGGTGCTCTCAATACCGCGTTAACAAGCTGCTACAATGGGGGTCGTGATAGTTATAACATGTCATTTAATGCGGTCGGCTCGTGGGAAATACGCGGGATGTCAGAGACGTTGCGGAACGTCTTTTCATCGTGCCGAAGAAGAAGAAGACACGAGTCACACATTATGTTTTTCCTGTGCCGGTCTGTTTATGTTACCCTGTATACACACGCTGTTTATATAGACGCGAACTCTGTGTGCCCACGTATATCTGTGAGATATGCGTCGGTAGCCAGTTATGCGTCTTGTACACGCGTTCGCATTTAATGCAACGTTTTAACTGCGTTCTATTTGTTTCCCTTTATATAATTCGCCAATGCCAATCATACGGACATCATTAATCCACAAAATATCGCATATTTATGTTGCAATGATTTATGAAATTGTTTATTTCGGGGATTGAGAGATCACACACACGATGTCCTACGCGATTTTTCATCGTTCGAAACGAAAATGCACGTCATTTGGCAACGTTGTGACAGCAATCAAAAATTCCTTCTCTTTGAACTTAATGCAACGATAAACACGTCGCCACAAACGCAGAAACATCCGGCAAGATGTGGTTAATTCTCGGAAGTTGCGGTTAACACGTCGCAATTGGCGATTTGGTGAGATTGTAAATTCAATTGTAGGAAGTAATACTTCTATGTGGATTCACTTTTCGTAGAAAAGTACTTAATTTTGGTACACATTTATAAATCTTTCACTGCATAGTTCGTGCACTACGATCATTTTCAATTTTAAACCGCTTGATATTTAAAAGCCGAGATATTCCGCAAACTCGGAATAAAGGTGTGTCAAGAGTTCGGCAGTAACATTTTCATCTATGGCTCCATTCGTAGATTCAAGAATCAAAAATCACGGATCGAAATATCTAATAATAGTTCGAAAGCCGAGCGTGTTCCGTCTTTGATTCCGGAAATGTTGTGCGGTAGAGAAATATATTAGACCATAAATTCTCGCTTTTTATAGCTTTACAATGCTAAATGACCCGCAACTAATGCCTGGTTCAAAACCAGTGACTTTTTATCCTATTAATATTTTTTGCCGGTGTAACATATTGTTATATTATCCGAAAATATATATTACATTTCCTCACACAAATATACAGTAAAATATTACGACAGTATAAAATTAATTTTACAAATTAATGAAATTCTACGCAAAATTTATCGCCGACTTATCACGTTTTATTAATTCAGGAGAAACGCGCAAATTATTCGGTTTAATAACACAAATCATTTAAGCTACTGAAAGATAATATAGAAAAATGGCCTTTGTGTGTACACAAGAAAATGTCACGTCACCTATTAATAAAAATCTTAGAAACACACGTCACTTGTGTTTTTTTATCCCCTCTTTGCAATTGCTTTAATGTATTTTTAATCTAGATAATGGAAGATCGGTTTAATGGATTGTCGAAGCAATATTATATATCGATAGCGGCTTTGATTAATCGACTGATTTTCAATGAAAAGTTTTAAGAAGAAATATTAGTAGTCATACGTCATATAAAAAAGATTGTATTGTAGCATCAATATTATCTTTTTCTAAATTATTAACTGTCACGAAAATCGTTCTATCTCCATAGCCATGACAGAATTTATTAAGAATATCGTTAAACAGAATTCAACGACGAGACAAAAGAGAGAGAGAGAGAGAGAGAGATGATGGCGAGAAAATTAGTAATTAGATTCTATACTTAAGTCAAACATTACGTAACTCGCAGTACTCAATTACGTAAGTTTATCGTAATTATGATGAGAAGATATTGATTGAATCATTTAGTTCGAAGACTGAAACCTATTTAAGAGAAACACGTGTCTGTCCGTAGATATAATTAACACACCACTTAATAGATTCAAAGATGCGAAGAAGGGAAGAAGATGAGGGAGAAGAAATAAACGTCGTGTCGCACATTTTTATGATAATTTAATTAAGAATTAAATCTTTTAGGATTTACGTTTGAGACATAATTAAAAGCACAACAGAAAATAATTCTATAAGATTTTAGAGAATAAATGATAATTCATATCTCTTACGTATTATCAACTTTAATTAGAAAGCAAAAACACGTGTAAAAAAAATGTATCGAATTTGTTTTTTTATTCGCAGGTGCACAGCCGCGAGTTAAAATGAGCAGGTTAACTCGAAAGAGACGCTCTTAACATTGTAAGTACATTGTTTCTGTTCTCAATTACTTGACATAACTATCTTATTGTGTAAAACATTTCATATGTTTTGATATTGTTGTGTAAAACCTTTGATATGTTTTTGAATTTTTGAACGTAAACTATTTTTGCTTGACAAAAGTTGCTTGCGCTTCATTCTGCATAGTGCAGCTTTTTGCCATAAAGGATAATCGGTGCAACGATGCTAACGAATCTTCTGTACCGTGATGAACTATCGATTATCCAAAAGCGGATGATTCGATTGTGAAATGTTTTTTATATAAATAGTTCACATTTATGTGAGGGTTTTTATTTTATAAGAAACTACGTAAATATAAACACATTAGATTTATTGAATGAAGCACGGGGGCTTTATTTGCAGCATCAACTTTCCAATTCACACAGTGTTTTACAGTATTAAGATACTAATTATATAAGATACAGTATTAATTACAGTATTAAGATACTAATTGTGTGTACAGAGCATAAATATTGTAATCACAGATGCGAGAGAGAGAGAGAGAGAGAGAGAGAGAGAGAGCATTCTTTACGCCAATGTAGACAAAAAAAAAAAAAATACATATGTTTATGACACAAGAAAATGCGCCATACAACGTTATATTGTGTATCAAAGGAACTATTTTATTCTCGGATTATAACATTCTTGGGTCTAACAAAGAGAATGCGCAATGACGTCTTTCTGTAGTCTTCTTTTTCTCGATTTTCTCGACGCGCCAGTGCTGATTCTATTCTTCCTATTCTATTTTCCTTTCTACTTTTCCTCCAATTGAAATTAGCTTTCACAAAGGGGAATTTACATATTACTTATAAATAGAAGTAACGCAATAAATAAAAGAAAGAGAGTAAAGAAAGAGAGAAAAGAAAGTCTCACATATGCATGACGATTATATTTTTTTTTTTTTTTACTATAATTATCTAATGAGTAGTCTCATAACTTTCTTCGAAAGTGTTTTACGTACTTGCATGGTCATGTCGCAAAGTTGATAGGTTAAAGGTCAAAGAACGTTGCCTCTCATTTCCCAGAGAGGGGTTAATGTCCGATTACGGTTTCGAAGACCCTATTGAGGTGTTACATACACGGCATGTGTTGCTTATCCAGGAAGAAATTTGCCAATAATTAACTAAATACGCCGTCACATGAATTCTAAACAAGCAAATTACGTGCCAGTCCAATGAAAGCGTCACTTGGCTCGTTCAATTATCCATTCTTATTTGATTAACAGTAATATGGAGATTATGTATATTCTTATATGTGCGTCCTCTCACGTTCAACAATTGATGTAACTCACAAAAAGTCATTTGCATATTGCGGCGCGAACCACACACGGCGCAATGTGCACTGAATAAACATCAACGGTTTGAACTTGAAACTATACGCGCACAACCGCAGAAATATACGCAATCCTATAAATTATTGACGAACAATTTACGCAAACGAATACGGGGAATTCATGACATAAATATCAGTCCTTCAAAGCTCTGAAACACGAAACAGATACTAGTTTGTCGTTGAAACGTTTGAAGGATATACGGAAGATATCCGACGGAGAGTCTGGATAGCTTTAATGGCGCCATCGATTCCTGTTGACAGAACCGGAAAACGGCGCATCTAAGCTGACTTCGCCGGAAGTTGGTGGAACGTCGCGGAGATGACGAAGAAGTTTGAGTTCAATTGGCAGATCGAGGTGCCGGAAGCGCTCCGTACGGGCTGCGTCTTCGATCGTTGGACAGAGGAGAAGGATAACACTGAAATCGAGCTAAATTGCCTGTTCAAGGTCGACGAGTATGGTTTCTTCATTTACTGGCAGAGCGAGGGGAAGGTGAGCCGTTTTTCTTCGAGAACGTGTGTTATCATTTATTTATTTCAATAAGGGAAAAGAAAAGCGCGCTCGAGATCTACTTATTGATTCCGAGATGCCGAATAAATATTTTATTTCTTTTCTCGCGCAGGACGGCGATGTCTTGGAATTGTGTCAAGTAAGCGACATTCGAGCCGGTGGCGTTCCCAGGGTAAAAAATTTTTTTTTCCTTTTACAGAATATAATAACAGAACAATAACAGAATAATAACGTAGATAATAATAAAATAATAAAAAAATAGCATTAATAAAATTATTATGTAAAAGAGGTCATCAAATAACGAAAACGTTTTTCAATGAAAATGAATAAATGTTAAAAACAAAATAAAATAAATTAAAATAAAATTTTTACGTGCTGATAGCTAATAGATCGACACGTTTTCAATAGGATTTGAAATTGCTGGACAAGTTACTCAGCAAACACGGCGAGCAGTTGGACGAGAAAAGTTTGACTATCTGTTCCGGTGTTGATTATACCAATATCAATTATCAGCATGTCGTATGTCCGGATCCTGCCACAGCCAAGGTAACGATAATTGAAATATACAGTAGAAATATAGTTTGGGAGTTATATTTACGTCCTTTTGTTACTAAATATGTTGATCAAGCAAATGATCCGTGTATAGAAATATTACTGCCTGGTTAACAACGATGTGACATTCGCGCATTATTATCGTTACCGAAATATCGTTTATAATAATCGGAATTAATAATCGAAATATCGTTTATAATAATCGCCGATCGCGCGATAGGTTTTGACCGAATTACTTCAAACGCTTAGCGTAACGTATGATTAACGTCTTTTGTTACATTACATTAACAACGTTTCGTGTTTGCGTATCGATTACGATTGAGATTTTATCGGCTACTTCTGTGCCGCCAGGTGACACGCGCGGAAATAGCGTGAACGCGCTACATGCGGTTCGCGCATATCGCGCTACCGCATCGTTCGCCTTATCATTTCATCGTGATCCCTCCGCTACATGTGCGCGCTTATTATGTTAAAACTGTTATTACGAAAGTCGATAATTTGCCATCATTGAAATTTCGTAAATAATTGTGCTTAACCGCCTGTGCGTTTATGACACTATCAAGCAGTACATCTGCACTTTATACTTGATTCTTTTTGACTATACTACGTTCTTTCCGAATTATTGCTTAGTCTTACTTGCGCGTATCTAAAAACTTTATCTTATAAACTTTTTCGCAATAATAGACAGTCTTATTTGTCGCATTAATAAAATATATTTAATTAAATTACATAATAAATTATAATAATATAATTAAAATATCATAGTACGTACAAGTAGCAAAATATACCTATCGATCTATGACACATTGCGACGGATTGCGATGACTGATTACGCGGGCTGGACTCGCGCGAGTGATGAAAATTAATATATTTCTCATATTTATTGCACTATTCAACGCGCTCTCAAGTAAAAAAAGAACAATTTACGTTATGTCATTTCTGTCTGTCGTCATAGGTATGGTTGGACGGTGTTCGATCGATCACGCACAATGTCAAAGCGAATAACGTTTGCCCACTTACATGTCTGAAGAAACAGTAAGTTTATTTTTTACTTTTAATGCACACCTATATATGTATGTATATATGTTGGATCATTAAATATGAAACTTGACAAATACATATATATATATATATATATATATATATATATATATATATATATATATTTGCAATTATGTATGTAAACATTAGTATTGTTCGCTTGTGTGTGGATTAATTAGACGTAAGTGCTTCCGTACGATTGGGACGTCGCGTTTTTTCTAATTCATTTCCGATGCAAAGGAAAACATTTGACTTGCATGAAATTAACGAGCAGCGTTTTTTGCGCTGTGTGTTTTAGTTGGATGCGGCTTAGGATGCTTGTGGATCCCAATGGAAAAGTTCCGGTGAAAGTGGTCGCGAGAACTTTTGCGTCCGGAAAAACGGAAAAGCTCGTTTATCAGTGTCTCTCTGAGTTAGGTCTACCTAGCGGAAAGGTATATTTTTAATTTAATTGTAAAACTAAATTATCAGTAACAGTATTGCTATGTCGCGTAAAATAGATTGCGATGATATTTTCCTTTTCTTAGAATGACGTAATAGAACCTGACGACTTCACCTTCGACGCGTTTTACGCGCTTTATCACAAAATATGTCCGAGAAACGATATAGAAGAATTATTTCAATCAATGTGAGTACTTGGTTTGAGAACTAATATAGTTTTTCATAATCATTTTATGAGTTAATTAATTATACGCTCTTTCTTTTCGTTTCTATCTATCTATCTGTCTGTCTATTTTTCTTTCTCTTGCGTAATGCAAACAGAAAAGAAACCTTGAGCGAATTAATGCGACCCCGAGTATTTACCCAAACATTTCCAGAACGCAGAGTAAGGCCGATACGATTAATCTGGAGCAACTGATTACCTTCCTGAACGAGAAGCAAAGAGATCCGACCTTGAACGAAATTCTCTATCCATTCTATGACGAGAAACGGACAATGGAGATTATCAATGATTACGAGCAGAACGAAATTGCGCGCAAAAACAGTAAGAAAATGATAAATAAATTTGTTTTCTTTCGGCGGTTGATTTTTTTTTTTTAAATAAAATCTTATAAGTAAATAAGGATCTTCGTAACACGATTGCTTATGCATGTTTCCATGATGAATATGTATCAGATTGTATATCAAGGATAAATTTTTTAATAAGAGAGAGAGAATAAAGTTGGTTCCTTCAAAACCGATGAAATGAAATTAATAATAAAGAGAAGAAACCGACCGCGTGAGTTGGATTTTCAACACAACACTTTCTTTCAGAAACGATGACGAAGGACGGCTTCATAAGGTACCTGATGTCCGATGAGAACGCGCCAGTTTTCCTCGACAGACTAGATGTTTATATGGACATGGACCAACCGCTGGCGCACTATTACATTAATTCAAGTCACAACACATACCTAAGTGGACGGCAATTCGGCGGGAGGAGTAGCGTCGAGATGTACAGACAGGTTCTACTTGCTGGATGCAGGTAGAATATGAATATACTGTTGCTGTCTATAAAATTATATGGAAATGATGATTGTAATCTGATTTACGACACCGGTGAATTCAACGAGTGGCGCATATTTATAACTTTGTCGATTGCACCAGATTGGGTCTATTTGCATACGTAATATTGTGCCTCCCGTCAAATCGATGCTCTGTTTATTGATTTATAACTATTTTACAATAGTAACATGAGAATGTCTATAAAAATGACTCGGTTATTTTTTTTTTTTTTTTTTTTCAATAATTGACTACGATATGTGCAGAAAGAATTTTGACGATCGTAATATAGTTACAATATCTTGTTTTTTTTTTTTGACTTAAATTTAAAGGTGCGTTGAATTGGATTGTTGGGATGGTAAAGGGGAGGATGAGGAGCCAATAATTACTCACGGCAAAGCCATGTGCACCGACATCTTGTTCAAGGACGTTATATACGCGGTTAGAGACACGGCCTTCGTTACATCAGAATATCCAGTGATCCTCAGCTTTGAAAACCACTGTAGCAAGAAGCAGCAATACAAGCTGGCCAAATATTGTGATGAAATTCTGGGTGATTTATTATTGAAGGATCCATTAAAAGAATATCCCGTAAGATTTTTTAGATAAATATTTTATCGTATTCTTTTTGACAGTTTTTATAAAACACAAGATAGTAAGTTTTTTTTTTCCTCATATTTTTATTTTGTTCTCGTCTGACTACGACCAATTATTACTCGCTATAAATAACGAGATTGTTACGATGAATTACCTCCTTATTGTATCATTACGCGTTTGAAACGTGACTCGAGTACGCACTAGCTCTTGCGGAGATGTGATAAGCACACTCAAATTTCAAAAACAGCTGGATCCAGGAGTACCTTTACCACCGCCTAGCATGCTCAAACGCAAGATTCTCATTAAGAACAAGCGCCTAAAGCCCGAGGTTGAGAAGGCGGAATTGGAGCTATTCAAGCAAGGCCAATTCGTAATTGAGGACGAGGTCAAGGAAGATGCCAGCGCGCCGCCGTCTATCGCTGCTGTCGTTGAGCAGCAACCGGTAACCTTAAAGGTAACCTTCATTACGATCCTCGAAAGTGGCAATACCCCGCTCACTTTAATCGAATTACGTAGCGTCTTGCGATCGCTTTGGTAAAGACGGAGATATATCTCTTCTCGTCTTCAGGAGGAGATCCCCGAATCGGTAACGTTGTCGGCCATTCAACAGCAGCAATCTGGCAGTGGTCCAAGTCTCGGTGAAAGCATAGAGCTAGTCGCTGTCGTCCAACCTTATACCGGAAGCACGACAAACGTTCACCCGTGGCTGTCCTCAATGGTCAACTACGCCCAGCCCATAAAGTTTCCTGGCTTCGATGTTGCCGAGCGTAAGCGAGACTTTCTTTTTTATTTTTGCGGATAAATTTAAATTTCTTCATAATATCTTATTTATGAAAAAGAAATCCATCATCTCACAGAGAAGAATATTCATTTCAATATGTCTTCCTTCGCGGAAAACACCGGCATGAGTCTCTTGAAATCTTCGGCGATGGATTTCGTAAATTACAACAAACGTCAGATGAGCCGAATTTATCCAAGAGGCACGCGGGCCGATTCTTCCAATTATATACCACAGGTAAGAGAAAAAAAAACACACACGCGCTCAGTTCGAGCGCGATTTATGTCACAAATAACACACAGAAAAGTGTATCTCGTTGATTAATCGTCGCAAAAACAGCCGTTTTGGAACGCTGGCTGCCAAATGGTGTCGTTGAACTTTCAAACCGCGGATCTGTCTATGCAACTGAATCAAGGAAAATTCGAGTACAACGGCTCCTCGGGTTATTTGCTAAAGCCGGATTTTATGAGACGCGCCGACAGAAGCTTCGATCCCGGCTCCGAGAGCCCCGTGGACGGAGTAATTGCCACGCAATGCAGTGTTCAAGTACGTTTCGATTTTAAATAACAATTTGGATATAATTAATTAGATTTATCGCGCGTTTCGAAATTTCTTTTGGAAAATTTCTTACCTTAAAATTTCATTCATCACAAAAATGCGACAGGTAATAGCTGGACAGTTTTTGTCCGACAAGAAAGTGGGAACGTACGTAGAGGTTGAAATGTACGGCCTACCGACCGACACAATACGCAAGGAATTCCGTACCAAGGTAGTTCCAGCCAACGGACTGAATCCTGTTTATAACGAAGAGCCGTTTCTATTTAGAAAGGTCGTTCTACCAGATTTGGCTGCTTTAAGATTCGCGGTATACGACGAGTCAAACAACAAACTGCTAGGACAGAGAATCGTTCCTTTGGACGGCTTGCAGGCCGGTTATCGGCACATCGCGTTACGAACCGAAGCCAACTTTCCTATGTCTCTGCCTATGTTATTTTGTAATATCGACATTAAGATTTATGTGCCAGATGGATTTGAAGGTATTTGACCGACATCGCAGACTGTTTTCCAGATAGGCAGTTGTGTACTTATATAATGTTCTTTTCAGAACTAATGGACGCTTTAGCGGCGCCGCGAACATTCAACAAAACGTTGGAAAGCTCGTCGCAAAACAAAATGCGAGGTTTAGGAATTGAAGAGAGCGACAGCAAAAACAATCTGGACAACAAAAACAACATGGCATCTCATCACCACGAAGTGGCGAAACCAAGAGGTAAGTCGTAAGAAATTTGTCAACTGAGTCAAGTGATCTGTACTCACGTTATTTTAATTGTACAGAGGAAATGAATTTCGATCCAATTACTCTGGATACACTGAGACAAGAAAAGGGTTACCAAAAAGTATTACGAAAACAGCAAAAAGAACTGGAATCTCTGAAAAAGAGGCATCAGAAGGAGAAAGTGACTGTTCAGAAACAGCATTGCGTTGCTATAGAGAAGATTTTTAAAGGAAAAAAGTTAGTGTTTCCATGGAAATTTAAAAACTTGGAATATTTACATTTTAGAATTAAATAAACAAATTTGATATAATAAAAATAGTTTTTTCTCTATTTATTATTAACAACTTACAATTATTTTCGCGCAGTAAAGCGGAACTTTCAAGAGACCCTATTGTTCGTCGCGCCGTTTCCGATCAGACCGCTCAGTGGTCGCGCCTTGCAGACAAGCAACGCCGGGAGGAACGCGAACTGGTTCGTAAACATCTGGAAGAGAGACAGACGCAGTTGTGTAAATTATGTACGACCGCGCAATTGGCGCAGCAGAAACAGCTGACCGCAAGGCATGAACGTGAAATGAAAGACATGATCGCGCGGCAAACAAGATTGTCGATGGAAAGCGCGCGGGAGGTGATGAACGACAAGACGTTGAAGACGCGAGGAATCAAAGAGGGTAAGCTCAGGGAGAAGCAGCAGAACAACACGAAGAAGTTTGTGGAGGAGCGCAAACACGCACAGATGATTCAGAACAGAGAGAGAGAAAAACTAAAAGTGATCCATGAGAAGCAACTAGAAGATTTGCAGAAAGACACGAACGCGGTAAGGCAACAGACACTCGCTAGAGTAGGAACTTTTCCGATAATATAATCTATTTGGATCTCTCTGAACGTAGACATGTCGAACATATATCGAGTGTAATGTTATTTTGTGTTGTAAGCGAAAACATTTCAACATTTTCTTCAAACTGCTAGAAAACATCTTAAATACCAAAAATTTAATTTCAATAATATTGAATAACATATCAATTAATGTTGATAGTATTGGATATATATGTAACTTTATCAGAGCGAAAGATATGTGATATATATGGAAGTTCTTGAAAGATCTAATTAACTCTATTTAGTGTTTGTTATGTAGTGCTTTATACACTATTGGTTTATAAGTTAATTTTTATTTATTTAATGTTATAATTATTTTTATTTATTATGTTTCTCACATTTCTTTATGCGACGATAATATTTTATTTAATATTTTCTTAATAAACGTTTTTTTTCATACAATATTTTTTATTTTATTCTTCCTACACGTTATTTTGTTACATATCATAAACACATAAAACAATAAAAAGTAAGTATATACATATATTTTTTTGTTACATATCTATGAACTTCTAAACTTGTATATAGTTGTTTTATAGTTTTAAAATAAAAACAAAACAAATGTTGCGAATAGTATATTAAAATCAAATTTAAAAAAACTAATTCTAATTCTTAACTCGAGAATGAGTCTCTTACTTTTTAAGACATTTTTTATATAAGTTTTTTTATATAAAAAAAAACATACATTTTTTTCAGATCATGGATATGTACAAGAACGAAGACTGCGAACTGACCAAGATGTTGGCTGAGTTCTATGTGTGATGAGTGCCGGTCACGATTTTTCATCATAGTGAAAGAATGCGCTACGAATTGGAACTATTTTAAGAAGCAATTTACTATCACACGTTAAATATATTTGAAATTGGGATCAAACGTTCGTTAGCTATACGTTCTCATATACGACGACAAGTGTCGCGCGTTATGAGAAGCAATAGACGAACGAGCACTTACAGTAACGTTTCTAATTCATTCAACTAAATATTTTTTTATAAACGAACATCTCGTTTTCATAGTTTTTGAGTACCTAGACAAACAAAAAAAAAAAAAAAAGGGAGTCAATAAAGCTAAAAAAGTAATCTAGTCAAGTATTAAGTGTATACTTATATACAGAATACATCTAATCAGCGGGACTGATCAAACGGTGTGAGCTATTTCGTCGCGCGATTCGTCGAAGACAAATATTTTTCGATTGTTATCTGCGCGCGCTATCGTCGAAGTCTATATCGATGTGGTAAAAATGTAAATGTGTGCGTATGTGTAAGACTGTTGTCTGTATTCGTGAGTCTATGCCTAATGTCAGGAGAAACTTATTATATATACACTGTTACCGTGACGATTCCTAGATACATACCTTAAGTTGAAGAGATAAAAGCTCTCAAGATCGGACTTAACAATTAATCGATAGTTCTCGTGTGACTGCTGATAATGATAATAGTATTAGAGCATTAACACATTTCGGGGTATTTTTAATTTTTTGAGATATATGAGAAAAAGAGCGTTTCTTTCAAACGCTGTTACGAATAGTCACACAGAATTGTAAATAAACTTTAACAAGAGCCTAGAATTTTAATGATTACCACGTTGTTGTTTTCATTATAATATGTATAATGTTATTTACATAAATTATTATATTATCGTATATACACACACATATATATATATAAATATATATCTATACTGGATATAAAGGATCAAGAACGAAATAAAAAGGTTACAAATCACACGTTTGAACTTTTTCTTATTAAAATACCCCTGAGAAAGTTGAATTGTTTTAAAAAATTATCATTTTTTTAAACCCCTACACTTATTTATTAATTTTTTGAATATAATAAATTCTATGAATATTATTCTTCTAGATGGACATCGTAACTGTGATTATCGTCGTCGTGATCGAAGTAATGCTCGAGCACGTCAGAGTTGAGTTTAAGATTGGCAACGGTAAATTCTTCGTATACGGCTGTAAAAAGAGAAAAAAAATAAATATATATTACAACATAATTTCAATTTGCATAATCTAATATTTTACATCGTTAGATTTATCGCTATCGTGTGTGTGTGTGTGTGTAGTAATATGATTTACCCGAATCATCGGATATATCGGCATGTTGCACGTCATAATGAGAATCCACAACGGGAATAATTGATTCACGGTGCTCCAAGTCCTGAATTTCCGCAAGATCTCCGTAATTCGTGGGCACCACTATATCATCGTGATTATCGATCCGCACGTTTTGATAGCTGGTAGCGCCGTGACCGTGATAGACCGCTTGGTTATTTGAAAAATGTGAAATGCGATCTATACCTCTCGTTATTCTGGCCGCCTCGCAGAGGGCGACGACTGCGAACAAGAGTAACTGAAACAAGTAAACAAATTTGCTCGAATTATATACTTGCTTGTAGTTCAAACTGAATGAAGAATTAGTATAAAAGATCGAAATTCTTTTCTCTTCTCATCTACAACCTTCATTCTTGTTGTTACATCGTCTAAAACATTCACTCACACAGTATTTCATAATGAATTCACTTCGGACGCTTCGGCGGGTTCTACTGAAGCTACGACTCTCATAAGCGTCTGTTTTATACAACAGTAGCCGCGTAACATTACGCAAGTTCATGCGAATATTATGCACCATGGACGGATGTTTACAATTCGTTTGTGCTTCATGGTGTAGACTTTGCGTGGTCGCGCGATGTGACGCGCTTGTGACTACATACTTACGTGAGTATGGGAAAATCAGTAGGTTGCGCCCGCAAGCACGCACGCACGCACACACGTATATAGTATAGTGTTGTTTCAAAACGGCGGCGGGATAGTTCACCGTTTCATTGCCGAGTTATGCAACATCTCTAGTCGTATTGCGCATCTATGATGAAACCGCGATATTATTCGAAATCCTTGGGAAAGCAAGATGGAAACCTCCGCTGACGGTCGCCATTATTTTCAGTTCTCTTTGCCAAGTTTTTTTTTTCTTAAATTAATTTCTATATATATATGATTGCGCCTATATATTAAATAAATACATTTTTAAAAACACTTTTAGTAAAAAAAAATTTATATTTAGTCGCACAGAAAAGGACGATAAGATGATGTGGGTACGTGGAAAGTTATAAATTTGATATATATTATGTGTATACGTGCGTATTTCGCTTGACATAACTGTACATAATAATAGATTAGTCAGAAAATAATGATACATTGACTTAGAAGAAATTCTCATGTGTTCCACATCATAGTTTTTACTTCAATTTCACGGTGCTTCGGGATAGTTGCATAAAGTACGGTATTACGGTTTGTTTTGCAATGAGAATAAGTGAGAATAAAGCATATAAATAATAATAAATAATGGAGTATAAAAAAATTGATTCGAGAACATTTATACACAATGCTGTGATAAAATACACACGTATACACGCAAAACGGGCATAAATAAATAATTAACAACTCGTTCGAAAAGTAAAAATTATTTTATTACACTTTAGAGACAAAATTTCCAGATTGTCTTGTCGTGTTGTTTTTTGCGAGACATTCCATATCTTTTTCTATTTTGACAGCTACTGACATCCAGTGGGATACATGTGTTTCGCTTTTGGATCAGTGACATTGTTTTATATAATAGGTTTTTACACATATTTATTACAAGTTTATAAGTAAATGTTGTAAAAAAAAATGTAGAAAAGCTAATGTAACTGCTTGACGATGATGCAGTTTTAACGCGTTGAAACATTCTCGTGTCCTGAAAAAAAGCTCTATGTGTCCTCGCATTGCGCGCGGTCGATCTACAAACAATGCGGCTTAACTATAACGGGATTATGAACGGCCGGCGGGAGGTACACAGGTTGCGAGGCGTGAACCGCGGGTTTTATATAGGACACTTGCGGCGCTTGCACCTGCACCACTTTGGGAGCTGCGTACTGAACGGGCGCGTGTAGCAGCGGCTTTTGATAGACGACCTGTGTTACGGGCGTCTCGTACTTTTTGAGGAAGAGCTTGGGCATCACGTCGTGATACATGGGTCTCTGATACATAGACGTGTAGTAGAACGGCTTCTGATAGGTCGGCGCGTAGGACAACACGGGTTTTTGATAAACGGGCGTCACGGGTTTAATGTACTGTACCGATTGATGCGCCGTCTCGTAGTTAATCGCGGGTGCCACCGGCTTCACATACGTGACGGCGGGTTTTGGCACGACGTAGGGCGCGTGCTGAACGTACTGCAAGTGAGCTAGCGGAGCTACGCCCAGCTCTTTTTTCAGATAAGTCGGTTGTATCAGAGGTTTAACGTAAATCGGCGATGACGAGTAAGCAGGACCCTGCGGATAGATCGGTTCGCAGGGATGATGAATGGAGTCTCTCTTTGCCTTTGACATCGGGATGTCCAGCATCTTCTCCATCAGCGATCCATCCGGCATGTCCGTGCGCATATCGGTCTCCGAACGCACTGCGGACAGCCACAGCAGGCATGGTATCTGAAAGTTAAATATGGATATTTTTAAGCTAAGATTTGGGGTGTTACGCTAATAATGCGCACGTGTAAAAAGAAATCGCTAATATAATTCTCGATAATACAGAAGTAGAAATTTGTAAATTAAGTAAAATGTATTATTCTGATGTTTTTGATATTATTTTTTTCTGTTTTTTAATTTAAAATTAAAAAAAACTTTTTGGTGTACGAAACACAAGATGTTACCGCAAGAGATTAGTTTTGAATCGAGAATATTTCTAAAATATCTCGAAAAAACAACACGGCTTTCAGCGCTACATGCTGATTGTGCTCACCAATAATCTGAGCATGATTTCTTCGTGTGCAATTCTTCGCTCGACGAACAATAGATCAGAAGCCCTGGACCAAACTAGAGACGCGTCGCTCGCAGTTCGCGGTTTTATAAACTTTTGCTCCACTTAAGAGAGGGCAAGTTTCTTGTCGAGCCTAAGTCGAATGTCGATTCCCTTAAGCGGCGTAAAAAGCGGTCGCCAAGCCCATGATGCAATCGCGCGCGCGCTCCGGTATTTCCTGAATAAATTCTGCGACGACGTAAGTGAGTGAGCGCACCTCGCGGGCACGGCGACGCATTTGCGCGTTGACATTATTCGTTGTCATTTACCGAGCGCGGTCGACAGTTGTCCGAGCCTGCCGCGCGCTAACCCCGGATCTCTAACGGCGACGTATCGCCCGAGGTGTTGCCCGTGGGAACAATGACATACATAATTTACGACATTTACGGATGCATTCACAGTAAAAAAAAAAACGCAAACCCGAAGTATATTTATTGCGCGTTTGTTGCCGAGTATGTACGTATGATCGCCGGAAGCTATCTAATTTAAATCCGCGGAGATATTTAAATTAGTAAAGAAATTGGCTTGGGGAAACTTGAGGAAAGGTGTCATAAATTACTTCGTGCGTTTTATCCCACAAATGCGTTTTAATATAAAAATATGAAGTTGTTTTTTTTTTGCAACGCATAGCGATTTTTTTTATATATGACAATGAAATAAAATAAAATAAGTGTATCTACATCTATTTAATCTAGTTGATGCTATTTAAAAATAATAGACATCAGTGATTTTAAATATATATATATAAAAGAAAACAATATATTTCAGCAAATATAACATTAATATACATAACAAAAAATTATGTACAAACATCACAATGCTTAAGATCTACTGCTGCTTGATTAATTTATTGCTACTTTGGTATAAAGATACTAAAGAGAATCGTTTAAATTTATCGATCAATGCTTCCAGCCATGTTTCGAGCTCTGATGGTGGAAAACATGCTTGTAGATTGGCACATGAACTGGATATGGTTTAGGTATCGGCACTGGAAAGTGCTTCTCTACCGTTACTGGATATGGCTTCTCGACGACGTACGGTACCTATAGTCATAGAGAGAGCAATATTATAAAAAAATGATTTTACAAAAGTATAATAAAATTATTTTCACATAAAAACCTTTGATTTTTAATAATAACTCTATTCTCTCCTTAATAAACAACAATAACCTTTTTTTCCACAACATATGGCTCCGGCTTTTCTATGGGAATTTCAACGTGTTTGACGACTTCCACGGGAACCGGATGCGGAATCGCGACTTGAACCTGGTAGGGCTGAGGTATCGGAACCTTAATTTGTTGAGGAACCGGAACAGGAACCGGATGTGGAATCGGTATCGCGTATTTCTTGTAGATCGGTATCTCCACTGGCTTGGATGTTTCGTGATAGGTGCTACCGCCGTGATCTTCCTCGTAAGAAGCCCATACCGCAGCCACCAAAGTAGCTAGAAGAACCTGCGAGAACAAAATGAGTCATTAAAGTCACCGCGTGAAACGTCTCAAAGATGTTTGTCTGATCTCGCGACCGCTTTCTAATCGCACTTTTAAACTCTTCTTCTAACAGTTTCTCGAGATCCGGTCGAATGCCGTAGTTCGCTTCTACAGCTTCTACACCGAACCATATTCGGAATGGTGTCACGCGGAGTGTGCGTTAATTTCGTAAGAAACTAATTGCAGCCTTGTTCTGTTCGGTTTTAATTGTAACGTTTTTACTTTTCGCGAGAAAAATTACAGATTTGTATCTTAGTCGCGAAAAAATTTGCGACGGTGTTATCCAATAATTATATGTTACTTCGCGAAGCAATTAACACTCTAACTCTAATTGCACATCAGACGTACGTAATAATTAAACTAAACGCGCAACGCGTGTAAAGCTCGCTTTTCATCAAAATCCACAAAATGATATTACAGTTATTTAGCGCTCTTGTATTCATTTTCGTGAAGTTTTTTGACGGATTTGACAAGTACTCACAAGAAGTCTCATGATTTTGCGAACTCGCGCGAAAAAAAAAAAAAGACACTTTGACAAAACCCAACAGTCAGCGATATCTGTTCGCGGTACGCGCAACAGGCTCTGTGATGCTTTCAAAGTCACGGCCAACTCTTTATATACCGACACTACTTTCTCCCTTCTTCTCATTACATCGACTCGAGCTCTGTTAGCTGTGTTCGGGCTTTTTACGCTTGTGCAAATGCCGTTCGTCTCTGTATCTGTATGCGCGAACAGTGTATCCAAGAGTGGTCTTTGATCTTCGTGTGGCATTCACCCGTGGCTGTCGGAATGCGCAAAGTGAATTTTACCAAAACTTGACATTAGACGAAGATGAATTACGGATGAATTAATTATAGCGGACATATAGCGGGAAATTTCCTGGCATTATAACAAGCTATCCGTTCGCGTGGTAATTATCCTCATCGTGCTCGCGGCTGTCACACGCGCAAACGAGTGTAGTTGTACGACTTGTAGCACACAAGTCGCAAGATACGTGCAAAGATACGACGAGGCATTTTGTAATTAGACTGCCGCATTTAATTCGAAGTACCGTAAACTAAAACCTGCGTATAAATTTAATTACATGTTTTAAATACAACGACTATATTGCGACTCAATAATATAATTAGAAGTAACAGTAATAAACAGATTCGTGTCTGTTCCGTATTAACTTTTTCCTATTTACCTAGAAGTTGTTGTACAAGATTTTTCTGTTTGGATCGGAGATTATTATATAAAATATAAGTAGAGGTAATAAGGTTAATGACTTTTCAGAAGAGTCAAGACACAGCGGTGTTTCAATGGATGCTACTGAGAAGACATAAAAGAAGCGAGTACAAGCGCTTACCGTAATGATGTTCTGCACGCTTTTATCTTTTTTTATTGCCGTTACACAGTTCTCAGCAGGTAATTCTTTCTATGATAAATCAGGTGATAAAATACAATTTTCTGATTTGAGGAAAGAGAGAGAGACTTCGGTGTTTACCGAAGCACGCAAACGTTTTTTACTCGTTCCTTCATGATGGTAGCCAAGTTGCATGTATCGGCGAGAGACGAAGATAAGCGTAAGTGTGGTAATGTCATGGTCTAGTTTACTTGTTCAACAATCTGTGAATAAACGTTGCATGATTGCAGTTCATTGAATTGCTGATAATCACGCAGACAATCACATCACGTCGTCACATTAAATTTATATAGATTTTCCTACGTTCTTTTCAATAATCGAGATTATTCACGCTTTTAAGCGTTTAATGCACGCTTTGATACAATTTTCTATACATAGTTTAAAGCGAAATGCTATTTTCATTTATCTCGATTACCTCGCACAAAACAAATGATATAAAAAAGCTTTACTACAAATTACTATGTTAATACTATAAAAAAAATTTAAATTCTCTTTCTAATTTCGTAATTCTTATTAATCGTAGCGGGGCGTAAATCTTGAAAAATTTTGTTTCGTTACAAACGACGTGTAGTAAACGACGTGGATAAAAAACAAACGGTCGTTGATTTTTTTTTTTACTGTTTGCGGTTGGCAGTAAACTATCAGCCGCAAACCGGGCAAAAAGTGTGTCGTAAGCGGTGCAACTTGGCGACGAGATCGATGGGCAAAGCGTTTAGCGCGCGGTCGCGTAGATCGATGCGGATGTGCGCGCAAGCAAGATCGATTTAAGAAAGATATCGCGTCGAGAGACGGGCGTGGTCGACGAACGAGAGGGAATGGGAACCGATTCCTTGAAGATTTGAATTGTGCGCGATGTTCTCTATCCGTATCGCCGAGCGGAACAGTGAAAGTGCATCTTGAGTAAAAGTGGTTTCACACGTCGATGTAAGAACGCGCGCGCCGCGCTCATTATGGCGAATCGAGATCGCGCACGTAGAACCCTTTCTCGCCCCCTCTGGCTTGCGGCCGGTTTCTTTCTAACCGATGGTAATCAAGCTGTCGAGGAAACAGTGTATTACACGCGTATTTTTTGTATAAGTCTCTCTTGTACGGGAAGATTTTATTTTTCCAGACATTGGACAAGAGAGCGGATACGAGCTATTCGTTATATTGTTGATATATAAAATCAGTTTTAATGCAATGCGGAATATATATATATATATATATATATATATATATATGCGAAGCTATTGCATGGAGAGACAGAATTTATTACAGTTAATTAGTTGTGGCAAATAACGATAGAACATTTATATATTTCATATGATTTATTAACACAAACTCAACTTTAAAAAATAATCGTGTATATGTACATCAAAAACTTAACAACGGTAAAAAAAAATACATGTAACAAAACTATCTACACGTTGACTTAAAAGCACCAACTAAAAAGTCAAGATAAATTGTAATAATACGCGCACTCTTATAATTTTGTGATTCACATCAATCAGTCACGTGTCAGAATCTCATGTCAATAAAAAAATGGCAAAAGAGGATTTTATAATTATTTAAATCAAACAATCTTGTGTGCAAACAAATCCTCATTATACCATAAAAAAGAATGTTTCAAAAACACGACCTAATATTTATCGAATTTAATGCCACCCTTTGCCCTTAGAAGTATAGTGAAGCACGTGTTTATAAACCGGGACGTGAACGGGATATGGTTTTGCCACTGGTACGGGGAATTTCTTCTCCACGTAGACGGGATATGGTTTTTCCACGATGTAAGGAACCTAAAATATTGTATGTAAAAAATATGAAATTATATATATATAAATTGTAAAATACAACTATATTGTGATAATTATGTTATAATTATATTCACGTGTTTTTCAACGACAACTGGCTCGGGTTTCTCAATAGGTATTTCGATATGTTTTACGACCTCAACTGGATACGGTTGGGGAATTTCAATTGGTACTTGATAGGGTTGAGGTATTGGAATTTTAATTTCCTTAGGCACCTCGACAGGCACGGGATGTGGAATAGGTATAGCTGAAATAAAGTGTTTGTGGTTTTTATATAAATGAATTTCTTTTAAAACTACATAATAATACGTAATATTTTTTATATTTTTAATGTAAATTTGATGTGAAAATTTTTAATGTAATATATTATTAAAAACTAGAATTAACGTAAAATATTTTCAAAAATTCAATATAGAATTATTATTATTATAAGTTTATTATTTTCATTTTAATATATGTAATTAAAAAATAAAACTAATAAATATATTAAATGTAATTAAACATTTTTTTACCATATTTTTTAATAATTGGTATTTCCACTGTCTTTGTTTTCTCTTCGTACGAAGAACCACCATGATCTTCGTCAAAATGACCGGCCAATACCACGCTGACAAACGAAGTAAGACCTAATATGAAAACCTGCAATATGTCCAAAATATTTAATTTAATTACCTTAACTTAGGACTAATTGATACAATAAAGCACACTTGTATCGCACGACATACAGACAAACTACACTTACGAATTGATTCATATTGATGTTTTTTCAGGGTTAATGTCGGTGGAAACACGAGGAATCGAGCGTTGAGTGACTATGTACCACAAAGATCGACCTTATATACCGGCTTCAATTCCACCACCTTTCACTAAAATCCTGTAATGAAGTTTCGATCCTTTCCAGGATATATCACGTTGCGTTTTGCGTCGCGTAACAATGTTTCCCGTGTAGGGAAACATTTTCTATTCACAGGCAATATAAAAGAATATTATCCACGTTTATATGTGACAAATATAAGAGCGTTATTATCCATGTTTATACGTGATTACACGGCAAACAGGTTTGCTGTTACATGGCCAGCAAGAAAAATTTGCCAAGCCTACCGATCTTCTGACCAATCGTCTTTTGTTATTTTAGCAAAAATCTGCTGAAACGTACTTTAACGTACGGTCCATTGAACTATGCAGTTTTTACGCGGAAGTCACAGCGATTATGTAGATTATAAAACGTCGAGAATGGAGAAAGTATAGATTGTAGTAACCCATAACTTAGTTGCGCTAGTTTACAAAAACCAATTTTGCGAGACTAGAGATGCGAGTATATAATCACATTGCGAATTTTGTGCAATTATTTTGATCGCAATGTGAGTTCTTCAAACAAATTACCAAAGTTTTTTTACAAACATTACGAAGATATCTTCGGGCAATGCGAACGATCGGTTTTTTATTTTGTCGAAAGTGAAGGGTTACACGCGTGAAGACTTTCCGATTACAATTACGAGAACACACTACCGAATTTACGAGTGAACAAAAAAAAAAAAATTACTCGGTTCTTTTATTCTGAATAATTATGAAGTTTCTCAAATTAAAATCCACAAATGACCAGGCAGAAATGTTTTTGCCTTGTCGGTTCGGTGCGCACAAGAAAGGAGAGCCCGTTCGGATGTGCGAAATTCGATTTCCGCTCACTCGTGGGCGTTCAGCGGTCACGCAGCCGAGATAGTTCTCTCTAGTGTGCGGCTTTTGGACTTATACAGGAAGTGAACGCGAAACACATACCTCTATGTGCTCGAAGAAACGCTAAAAGAGACGATATATTTTTCGATCTACGTTCAAATGAAAGTACGCAACAGTTCCCGTGAAAGGGTTCCGGGAGGAATAGTTATCGAAAGAGACTCGGCTGTGAAAGGCAACGTGAAAACAATCTTAAAAATAGATTAGTAAAGAGAAATGCATAATCACACGTATTGTATGTAAATAAAAAAAAAAAAAAAAAACATGATTATTTATAACACAAGAAATTTAATTCGTTACATTTGTCATACAACAAGTATTTACGATAAATTACACGCGAGTGAATTCACGGCGTTGTGCATTGTATGCAATGTTATAGATAACCGCGTGTAAGCTAATTATTCACATATAACAAGTTCGTCGCTCGCGGAAGAAAAACACGTTACTTACGTTTCTAATGCGTAGAGAAACTACGAGGCGACTCTGAGACGGAGATTAACGTCTCATCTCAATTAACGTCAATGGTAGAGCGATTTTGCTAATTTGTTCTCGTGGAAAATTGAACGAAACCACGCGGTCACCGTAGTCGCATAAACTCACGATGTGTCACTCACAAGAGCTCAGACTCGTGGTCCGGAGCGATCTGAGTTGTTCCTGATTCTAATAGCGCAAATTGTTCTGACCTCGGCATTAGAGAAAGTGTTAAATCGATCAATCGATCTTGAGGATTTTGATTTGCATATTGCAATTTCTTATTAGTTTACTGATCAAATCTACAATTCTTGCAAATGTCTGTAATTTACATCTATATATATATAATTTTGATAGTGATATATATATAATTGTATGTATGATAAGTGATATATATATAATTATATGTATAAGTGATATATATATATAGATGTAAATTACAGACATTTGCAAGAATTGTAGATTTGATCAGTAAACTAATAAGAAATTGCAATATGCAAATCAAAATCCTCAAGATCGATTGATCGATTTAACACTTTCTCTAATGCCGCGGTCAGAACAATATATATATATATATCACTATCGATCTATCGAGAAACTGTGTTTCCAAAATTAAAATAAAAGTATATTCTGATCTGATATATATTTTTAAGAAAGCATTAAGTAACAATTAATTTGCAAAACTCATTTTAGTTAATACTTTTTTTTTATAAGTATACTGTCTAACAAAAAGTATTCGAGACGAGAAAAGATAAATAAATTGGAAATGCGACGGGTTCAGAACGCGAAACTCTTCAGCCATGCGAAATAAAGACCTCCTGCAGAATAGAGAGGTAATGCAGCAGAAGATTTTCATAATGATCGCTTATACGGAGATGAAACACCGCCGTGAACTCATAATTCTTCACTACAACGCGCAGAATAATGAGCATAAGTCAACGAATCCGTTTGGTAAAAAGAGGGGGAGAAAAAAAAAAGGAAGCACAGCCGAGAGAATCTCGAGACGGAGAAAAAAAGCCCGAGGCGAAAGTAAAGTTCAAAGTCGATTTGCACAGTGTCGACAATCACCGCGCCGCCGCAAAAAAGAAAATTCGCACCCGGTGATTGTATATTAGGCATTAAAAGCGTGCGTTTTCCTGATTTGCGTCGCCCGTGATTCGCTTAATCGACGCATCGACGAATTTCCAATCGATCGTTCGATTCGGCTTTCCCGTTAATTAAAGGGAATCGACTTTCTTAACCGCACCGGCAATCACGCAATCATATAATATTGCGATATCATAGGTTTGTTCTGATAATTTTGCGCATTGGGAAATCATTGATGTCTATATTTACAGAACGATCACTGTGGCGATCCAAGTGGAATGAAATAAAGCTAAATTCGCGCGCGCGCACCCGGCACGTTTGTTGACTTTTTACCATTTACACGTCATTAAACCGTAAAGTTAAAGATCGCTGAACAGCAACATTGCGGCTTTAATTCTGAAATATGGATACTCGGAAATGACAGAGTAAGAGTATACGCAACCGCAGTCATTTCGAATACTTCCCAGACATCAAGGTAGCGATTTTTTAAGTAGACTCGTTACGTTGCGAAAGATCGCTCTTCCTACTTTTACGATCATCACGTCGAAGAAAGAAAGAACTTAAATGTTGTGTGCCTTCTCCTTTCGCTCCTGTTCCTTTTTTTTTTTTTTTTTTATCAACGTCGTTTTGCACTTTTTGCCATGCACACAGACAGACGTTGTTGTTGGTACGATTGTATTTTAATTTCCGACATCGTCTGTCTACACGCCTTGTTTTGATTTCACGCTGGTTGGTTATACCTCCGTATTGTGCCATTGGAAGTGTCATAATTAAGTTGTATCCCCGACGCGAGCCTTTTCACTTCGCGCAATGTCAAGGCGAACGAGAATAAAATTTGCATCCTCGTCTCGCCAAGTTGTTTTTTTTTTTTTTACGCCGGAGTTCTTTATTATTTCTGCGTCGCTTTTACAACAAAAACGTATCAATGCACTTTATTGCATAAACAGAATTAAAGTTTGAAGAAGTGAAATGTAAAGAGTACAAACAAATGTGTATGAATATATTTCTTTCTCGACAATTTTATTCTAAACGTTTGATTTAAACTCGAACGCTATATATACTTGCAATGATTGCGCGCACATATGTAAATCAATATTTCAGAAAAGATACAAATAGACACAATATTTGTGAAAAATAATTCGTTACGCGGATTTCCGGTTATGCGGATCGCCGCAAGAGTGCTCGAATAGCAAATTGTTCGGTTCAATAAGACACTCAAGTTGCGCAACAACAATCAAGTTCCGTGTGTATGGTTCCGCGTGTAATTGTGCGTCTCGCATCATTTCATTTCCAACACTTTCAGAACGAAACACATCAGGAACGAGTGCGTGCTCATTGGCCATGTGACGATCTCACGATATCCTGAGAAACGTTTGAAATTCGCATGCGTGAAACTTTATGCGCGTTGTTTATCACACTGCAGACTAATTATGGCAGACGTCGTTAACGAGCTTTCGGGCGATTAGCCTTTTTATAACAGACGACATGTCATACGTTCGATGCGTATACGATGATGGTAAAAGTGACAATTAAATGTTACTCGAGAATCGTTAATATATTCTCTTATTTATTGCGCGGATAATCATAAATAACAAACGTAATTATCTACTATCGAAGCGTTATTAATTAAGGTAAAATACGAGTTTTTATTTTCTAATATAGTTCAATTTTATTGTAAAATATTGTTTATTAAAATATCGTTCAATTTTATTTTTTAACGACTTTTCCGCTGCGGTAATTAAAAGTAATTTATATATACGAGTGTTTTCATTTTATAATGAAAATAGATTTAATAGATGGCTTTTAGTAATAACAGTTTTCCATTTTTGTACATATTGTAATAAACAATGTTCTCTCTCTATAAAATATAACAAAATAATCTTCTACGCATTTTATACATTTTTGAGAATGTACGGATTACAAAAAGAAAAATATCAACAACAAAGATATGAAATTATGTTACAGTAACACACAGAAAATCAATGGCCTTTGACTTTGTGCACGATGGTCTTGTAGATCGGAATCTTGATCGGTATTGGCTTTTGAACCAGAATGGGCACGTGTTTCACCACTTTAAACGGCACAGGTTTCTCGATTTTAACCGGAATTATTTTCTCGACGGGCGTAGGTACTTTTTTCTCGACCGTCTTAATTACCTGCTTCTCCACCTGGAAAGACACGAGACAGATTTCAGCGGAGGAGAGATAATGATCAGTAACTTCGCTTTTAAGATTGACGTTAATTATTGTGCAGTCACCTGATATGGTACAGGCTTCGTTACCACCACGGGGACGGGATAAGGCTGTGGAACAGTTTGCACCACTGGATGCGGAACGCTGATCGGAACTTGCTTGATCGTCGGTATTCCTATCACCAAATACCGTGCGATAAAATAATATAACAAACTGTTAATGGGATTTCGAGATAAGACGATAAATATGTCTATTTACTAGAGTTAATGTCTTGCTTTTTTTGTTATTATTTTGTTATCAATATCTAAAGAATTTCTCAGTGATTTCTCGTGATTAAAAATTTTTTTTACATTACCAACGTGCTTAACAACGGGGATTACATGGGATCCGTGCAAACCCGAGTGCCAACCATTTGACAAATGATCTCCCAAGAAATCTGAAGAATGACTCTCTAAAATTTAAAATCTGATTATTTATTCGTCACGCCTGTACAACGAGACTTGCAATTTATATACCCAACACACATTATCGTCACGTATAGTTGCCGTGACAAATTGCTATTTAACGACAGTGTCGTTTATAAAATTTACAGGTAGAAAATATATCGCACAGACAAATCGCGTTACGCTAATGGCCAAATACAACGTAAATATGCAAACCTGTTCCCAAGTTAAAAGCTCCCAAGTCATCATGGTCTATAGAAATTTCTCCAAGAGTAAGCTCGCCGTGACTTCCAAGGGACTCCCAACCGGAACCGTGAGAGCAGGCGATAAGTCCCAGCAGCACAATCTTAAATATCAAGAAATGAACGTCCGAAATTTAAAAAATCCAATGAATTTTAATTATTTCTCTGATCAAAAAAAAAAAAAAGAAAAATATGCCGCACGAATTGCACAGTACATATATTTTATCAATTCACTTAGTTCGAATAGAGTTGAATATACAATGATAATTAATATAAATATCAAACACGAGCTTTACAACTGTTTATTACCTAACCGAGACGAGCCTTTACGTACAATTTTTTTCATCGCTTAGCTAAGATATCTCTATCGTTCATGAATAAGTAGTGTACTCGAGATAGATTCTTTTAGTCGTCACTTTATATACCGCCTGCACAGAGAGAAGTCTGGAACCACCACGTCACCCCACTCTAAAAGGATACCCCACACCTTTACCACACGATATCTGGATAGTGTGATTGTTGAACTGTGCGATTGTAATCACTGTCGCCACTCCAGGTATTATGTAACGTCTAATATAGCACGCAATAATTGCTTATAACGAATTATTTTAATTTTGTTTCTGATTGCATTATAAATTGCTTACGTATTAATAAAATATTTTACAAAGTAAACTAAATTTACTCTATTACAATAAGAATATAATTCAAAGAAATTAAATAAGAATATAATTTTTATAGTACTAATAATTTTCTAGTAAATTTACTCTACTTTACTAATAAATTTACTCTATTACAATAAGAATATAATTTTTATAGTACTAATAATTTATAGAACTAATAAGTTTTATTTACATTTTTTTACATTTATGTAAAAAAAATAATATATAGATAACATAAATAATATAGAAACAAAACATCAAGCAAGATGTAAAAAAAAAGTCCAGAAAAACAAAAGTGCGTCGATTATGTAACATGTTATTATATTATTGATAACAAATTGTTGAAAGTGAGCAAATTGCAAAATCTTGTAATATTTATATATTGCTTTCATATTTCTTTAGGTAAACTTTCTTAGTTTTTCCGACACTATGAATATTCATCTGTGGTTTACATGAATTTCAGTTTTTTATATTTTATCGGTCACTTCTCGTTGTACAACGATAAAATCTTTGAGTTTGTCTGTAGCTGAATCCAACGAAATTGTCACGGATGATTTGTTGCAGCAACCGCGATGATCTCGTTCATCGCGGGCGAATCAATTTGTCTGACGTCTGCTTTCCACGGAATTGTCGGTGCTTTTATCGAAAATCGCTAGTGAAAGTCGTTATTATGAGCTCTTCTTGCTTTACTATCTCCAGCAAGAACGCATATAAATTATGTGACCACTGTTTCTTTATATTTATTAATACAAATGTGTCATCTTATGAAAATACATGTTATGTTACACATGAAGATTATTTTGTAGTGTTCATATATCTTTATTTTGCATCAAAGATGGAGGAAGAGGTAAAATGTTTATAAAAGAAAAAAAATTCTAAATATCTAGACTATGAACTAAATTCTTCTTCAATGCAATTACGTAAGATAATCTGCGCAAACAATCAACAGCTCTCATCAATCAACACATTTAGTTTTTATTAATCTTATTTATTATTTTGGTCTTATTTTCTGATTTTTAGTGGATAGTATCTAAAGTTGTTGATAAAAGTCATTTACATAATTTTACAAAGAGAATTATTTTTTACTGTTTAAAATAATTCTAAAAAGTAGTAATTGATCAAAATATCACAGATATATGTATATTATGTGGTTTATACATATACGTGCATATAAAAGTTATGTGAATAGTTTTTACATATACGTCATAAATCTCTGGTTTTTATATACATGTATATATCGCTGCTGGTATACTACTTTAATAAGCTCTTTCCTCTCATCGGTATTAAATATAACAAGAACAGAAATGTTAATTGTTAATTTCATTTAGACGAGCTCATTATCTTAATTTATAAAATTACCTCAACACTTTCTGATTTACGTACGAAGGCGGCAAAAAGCATGTCGATGACGAACTTTCACCAAACAAGAATAACAAGAGTGTGTAGTTTTATAAGCATTTTATTTAAAAAAAACAATAGAACAACAAATATGAAAAAAAGGTAACTCAACAATGCGTCGATAGCGCTGGCGTTCACAAAGAAACGCGCGCTTATACATTTATATACAAAGAACAAATAGTTCAGTCGAGAATCATTCCAACGGAAAATAAGTTTTTCGTGTACTTTCTACTCATCAAGGCGAAATCGATCGATAAAAGAAGTCTCGCCTTTTCACGTTTTGATCGATCCTTATATAACAGTTTTTATCACGATAACATTACATACGCATAAAAGTCGAATAAATAATATCTAGTACTAAAAAACTTTTTTGCAAAGAAAAGTATAAAAAAGAATATAACATGAATTAATGAATAGCGAAATTCGCCGCTTGAATTTGCCGATCGAGAAAAACAACAAACAAATATTATATAACATGTCACATCTAAAACCAAATCACTAATGTTCACTCTTCTACGATAATATACCCTGTTCCTCTTGTTTCAAAAAAAAAAAAATGTACCACAGACAATCTCATCAGGTGTGCTCTAATGTTTCTTCGCATGATGATAAATGGTCTTGTAAACGGGAATTTTGATGGGATACGGTTTCACAACGGGGACGGGAATGTGTTTCTCGATCGTGATAGGAACTGGCTTTTCGACGGGTACGGGAATGTGTTTTTCCACGGGATAAGGAACCTTCTTCTCGACCGGGATCGCAATCGTCTTTATCACCTGAATGGGAACGTGTTTTGGGACGGGAACGTGGACGGGATAAGGTTGCGGAACACCAACTGCTACCGGATGCGGCACGGGAATCGGTACTGATTTTGGAACCGGTACACCTGAAAGAAAATTGTTTTGTTTGCCAGAAAGTATCTTCAGAATGTGCGAAAAAATGAAGAAACAAAAAAACCCCTCTTCACAACCCCCTTATTAACAAAATTAACTATTTTTCTTTAGTATCAAATTTTAATTGCAAATCTAGGAAGAAAAAAAGTAGAAGAGCAAATATACGTTACCGATGTGCTTGTAGACTGGTATTGCTACAGGCTTTGTCACTTCGACGTGCTCAGAAACGGGAACACTGTGAACGTAATTTTGTCCAGCGTCTAACGAGATTCCGTGACCGCCATCGTCACCACCGTGACCACCGAAATCACCGCCTCCAGAAGAGAAATCCTGATGACCACCGTCGAAACCGCCGGAAGATGATTCTAAATGTCCACCGGAACTAGCATCATAGCCACTTCCGCTGTGACCTCCGTAGTCACCACCGCCGTGACCTCCGTAGTCACCACCCCCGTAACCTCCCCCGTAGCCGGAAGTGCCGGAAATATCCTGATCAGAACGATCAATCGCTAAATGAGCGCTGTAGAGTTGCATGATCGTGAAGGGTTCTTCATTTTGGTTCACGATCACCGGCGTGGCCGCGGCCAAGGACATCAGAGAAAGCAGCACCTGTATATCGCGAAAATTAATAAAACTAAAAAGTGCACTTTATGGAAAGTAAATGTATAAATACACACACTGGCAATCCGCATCGCACAAGAAAACGGAGTGTTAATTAGAATTTTGATGTGCTGGTTTTTTTAAATTAATCAGACTCATAAAAATATGCATATATATCTACGCTCTTAATATATCAAATCTCTAAAAGAAACAATGACGCGGTACATAAGTTAAATGTAAGGTAACATAATACGTATATAATAAAATGTAAATAAATAATTACGCAAAGTTTTAATTTTTAATCATTTGTCTTTTTTGTACGTCAAATATCGAGCTTATGTTATTTATCATAAAATTGCTGTGCACAGTTTGAAAAGTAGAAGACAATTACAACAAAGTTTGACAACGTATACGGTAAAGTTTTGACAGATAAAAACTTTAACTTTTATCAACTTATCAAATATATACGTACGATTCTATTCATGTTTCCACACATAATTTTTGTACACCTCAAGTTGCTTGTAAGTCTGTTCTACAACTGATATATCTTCAGCTATTTCCCGTCTTAATATACTGTGAGGCCTTTCACTGTAGACGCTGTGATTTCGTCTCGCCTCGTGCTGCGGCGAATTACACCCGCCCGGCGCAATTGTTTCGCTGCAGCCGTGCGCGTGAAAATAATTGACCATGTCCTCGCGGCCTTAACATTGACAACGGATTAGACATTTTCTATTCCGTTACGCACAGTGAGCGTCTACGCGCGGATTTTCACGTTTACCGCAGCGTCTACCCTACTGTTACTTCGACATGTTCCTCGTAAGATATCTGCTAAATTTGCACGTCGTTTGTCACGAGATCGCTCTTTCCGGTTTTAGTTTCACGTGAGTGTTGCATACGTTTTTTTTTTTTTGTAAAATAAGATATGAGTACTTTTTACTTTATTTAAAAAAAGTTAAGATATATTATATACATATTTTATTAATAAATACTTTAATTCTATATTTGCAATTTGTTCTAATCTTAAAGGAAACAAAATATATATGTATATACAACAAAAAAGCTTGCCTACTAGCAAATTTAATTATTTTTTTACTTGACTTAGTGCTTATAAGTGTGAAGATTATTTATTAATAATGTCATGTGACCAATAGCAATTTAATCACAAAACACGACAAACTAATTTTGACGCACGCATGCGCGCACGTAACTTTTAACAACGTGTGGGAAGAGAGCATAACGAATTCGTGAACGATGTACTCAGACTCACTAATGATTTATAACGCACTACTTTTTTTATTATTATTGTTATTAGAAAACATAATCTCTAATACGTATACTAATGTAAGTTTTTCACGCAAAATTGTTTTTTTATTTTTTCGATGAACTAATAAGATTCAATTAAACTTAGGTTTCTAAAAAACTCATAAACAATTGAAAATTCTGTTTATTAATAAAGTAGTAGTTTATTAATAAAGTTTGTGATGTGTTTTTAATGCACAATAATAATTTCCATGTAGTTTACAAGATTTAATATAATTATTCAATATAATTATTATACATTTTTGGAAATATTTTGCAAAGTAAATATTATATATATATATATATTTAGAACATAGCTATCAGATAAATATTTAATTTTTTTGTAAAATAATTAATACGACTAGATACGATTAAATGAATAAACTCAAAAAAATTCGAATAAAATACTTTCACACTTTGATTCATTCGAGCTAGCAAGAGAAATGAAATTGCCGATGCACTGAACCGTGACTACTTCCAAAGAATCCGAAACAGATTGTATATAGCTCATATATAACAGTAAATCATGTGTGTGTGTATGTGTGTGTGTGTATGTGTGTGTGAAGCGTGAAAGATATAATAATATAGAAAAAGGACACATTATAAAAAACTTCCGGGAAGTAATCATTGATTAATCATTGACGCTTTAAGTTAAGTGTAGATTTAGTTCGGTTTTACGTTCTTCTACGATAACATCTCGGCGGAAATTACACGGAAATGAAAGGGAAGTGAAGGTTCACGTAATGTGCACAATGCATAAATCATACTTCTAACATTATTAAATGCAAATCTAGGTAGGATGTATCTCAATAACTTTTGTTGCAAGACGTACGTCTTAAAATAACCGCAAAAATATATAATTAAGCTAAAATGTAACAGAAACTATAATAGGAGAGAAATAATATAATACACTATTTATATAAAAAAAACTTCTTTATTAAATAACGTTAATATTTGGCAGCAAGTAAAGAACACACACGCCAGGAGGTATGGTAGAGGTATAATCGACGCGAGAGTGAGAAAAAAACAGATATTTTCTCACATTATCGATATTATTACTAGTGTGACAACTTTTTTATCTACAAGTAACAGTATTTGGAGTCTATGAAAAATGATCGTGGGGCGAGTTTATACTGCAACACGCCATTCAGCGTTATCCTGACTTCGCAGATTGATAACTCGTACGAGTCGCGCTCTGGAATCCTATTTAATTATCTTATAATGCGAGCTTCTCTCAGTATATCCAGTGACCGTGCTTCTTCGTTTTTCGATGGAAAACGTGTTTGTAGATCGGAATGTGGATCGGATATGGTTTTTCAACCGGCACAGGTATATGCCTCTCCACCGTTATCGGGACTGGCTTTTCCACCGGCACCGGCACTATCTTCTCCACCGGATACGGCACTTTCTTCTCCACCGGTATCGCGATGGTCTTCACGACTGGCACGGGAACCGGATGGGCGACCGGCACGTGGATGGGGTAAGGCTGAGCAACTGCCACCGCCACAGGATGAGGCACGGGAATTGCCACGGGTTGAGCCACTGGGATTCCTATATGTTTCCAAGATAAATAATAATTTAGTCCGTCTATCTCTACCTTCTTCTTCTAGTCCGTTGGTCACATCAATTGTTTAAAGGAAAGAAGTGATTTTATTTATACGCTTCTATAAAAAATACAAGAATAGAGGTTCAACCCAAAGAAAATGTAATCTTATTGAAAGAACAGGAGGATTTTCTGATATTCGCTTTTTCTTAAAAGTTTCACAACGTACTTTGGTATTCAAACGTAAATGCAATTTGTTTTTTTGCGTGTCGATAAAGAAGTTTTCCAGTTAGTAATTGCTACTTTCAGAAATAATACAAAATGAATTAAAACTTTTTGATAAATGTATTTTCTTGTTCCAATCTCAATGCGCGAGAGATATACGTGTTATTACAAGAACTATCAATTCTAAATATTATCTATTTTTGTTTATAACAATTTTACTGTTATCATCATTGTTGTCACAATGTAAATGTTATTATATAATTTATTGGCGTTTACTTGATTTATTTATTACAAATTCTTACCGATGTTTTTTACAACTGGCACAACCACCGGTTTCGTAACTTCTATATGTTCGCTGATTGGTATAGATTGAACCGCCAGGTGCTGGATGTTCCCATGGTTAACTTCGTGGCCCATTCCTGTGTGAAGATCACCATTTCCGTAAGAAGAATAGCCGAGATTCTGATGAATATTTATATTCTGGCCGGTAGATCCGTAACTAGACACTCTATTAAAATCAGTAATTAGTGACAGTACAATGAGAGAGACACGCAATGTCTTGTGATGAATATGACGACCGAATCCTCTCATTTGCGCTTGCTTACCCATGCCATCCCGACTCACTCCCTGCAAAACTGGCAATTGTTGCTTTTGTTAAGTAACATAGAATGAGTATCTGAAATAATTAACATCTTTTTACTGTAAAAAATATTATAATAAAATATTGTTAAATAAATAGTAATTTTTAAAATCAACCTTATGTGTGATAAACTATTATTAGATATATAATTAGATAAATAGATAGATTATTTAATTACATTGGATATAGTTTTAAAAAAAGGAAATAAATTTAAGAACTTTTTCTAGTTTTAATCTATATTTTTTTCTCTCTTTTTTTTCCTTCCCCTTTTCTCCCTCATACATTCTTTCTCTTTCATCGCAGTTGGTGTCAACCACATTGTTTTATGACAAATATATGAGCGACGTAAAAAAAAATGTGATAAAGAACATCTATGTATATTCGCGATTGGGACACTTTGAAACATTCGTCAATGTACTCTTTCTTTCCCTCGAAAGAATATGGTACGTCTGAGCGGATATGTGTTTGAATTATCACCCGTCTCGCGAGATACTCCTGAATCTATACTGAATTACTATCGTACTATATATCGTACGAAAGTGAAGAATGGAAATATCGACAATCACTTTCCATCGCTATTGTTCGGCGGAACAAAGTGAAGCCGGAACTCGCGTGCGAGTCGGTGAAGTATCGGGTGCCTTGAATCTCCGCTTCCGCGATTCCCACGCGTATACGCCCGTCCCGAAACGCGGTACCTTACATTCGTCTTTCGCTACTTACGGAGGACAGAAGAAACATTTTTCAGAAACACGTCGCGATGAGAGATACGATAACGTGAACGATACAACGAATGTGATACTGCGGATTGGTTCCGATGGACCGTTCGTTTTTATACATGACGCTTTCTCCCTCTCCCCTACTCATCCAAGATAGCCGATGTCTCTTGTGGAAACTAGATTCGCGTGCCCGCACCTATATCCGATTAGCAAATCGGGAACGAGTTTGTTCTTGATCCCTCTAGTAGAATCGAAACCCGAGACAAGTACAGTCAGAAATACAGTCAGAATGCGTTTCTCGATCCGGTTGCGAATTACGTTACAGCTTGAAGAAAACCTTGTCAAAATTTATCACTGTTAGAATTTCAAGCTTTAAACTGATAGTCAATTGTAGATTAAAAATTGTAAATTAAAAATGACAAATTTCTCGAATCTGTGATAGGACTTAAATCGATAACAGTTTTCTATGATCGATTTTGAACGAAAATGATTTTGATCCGAAAATCGAATTCAACGAGTATTGATAATTTACAATGTTTTAATGAATTTTAACTTTATAACAGATATATGAATCTGTTATGAATATTGTTGAAATAATGCATAACTCTCTGATAGCAAATTCCTTTTGTAAGCGCGACGAGAACATCAACATAAACTGATGTTCTCTCGTTATCTTCCACATCTTGAAATAGATACGAAAGTGAAATTTGTTTTGCTCTCTGAACCGGTTTTCTGTGTTCTTTTGTGAAATATATATAGCGACTCCGTGCGGTAAAATGAAAACGTGTCTTAGTGCGCTGACTCTCTGAGCAACAAAGTGAAGCTTCTACATGTTGATACGCACTCAAGTATCATATTTCGTTTCTTGTGCGAGTTACAGAGAAACTACTCCCGTTCTTAAACGCTAAAAATATAAGTTTTTGCTTATAACAATTAATTATATCTGCTCACAAATATGTTGCGGATAGGTAATTGCGCTCGGGGAAAGAAATAAAGAATTTTTACAAATTATCCGTGTGAGTTATAATTGCGACACTTACAAAGTGAAGTTCGCCCGACTGATTTCGCTCTAACAGAAGAGAATCATAAAAATACGCTTTCATAAAAATTATTTGCGTCATTATCCTCGGAGAAGAGTACGAATGGAACGACATGTCGTATATTTAGATATAGATATAGCTTGTCTTGTTATTCACGCAGAGAGGCATTTAATAACCGTATTGCCTGACTTTGCGCTAATTTGTGAGATGAAAAAAAAAAAAAAAAAAAAAAA